GACTGTCATTTCTTAAATGCATATATGTTTAGTATGGGTGGAAACCAATACAAATGCATTATTATGAACAGATAATGCATTCAGATTAATTCTTACTGTAATATTTCTCTCAGCATAACACAACTTCTCAGCGTCGTAACTAATAACATTTCAAACACACAGACAATATACAGTATGCACTTTGCAACAGCCCACTGAGCCCACTCTTTACTGGTGATGTCATGGTTTCCACTGTCCACTGTCCGCTGAGAATAGACGTCCAGAAATGTGCTTAGTCACAGAAAAGGCTCATAGTCATTGGATTCAGATGTCTTCTTCAGTATCAGAGTAATCGGGTTGACTATACAGTGCAAACAGGAACTGCTGGCACCCAAAGCAGCAAGAGTTCATGATGAAGATTTGTCAGCATGTAGTCAGATAGATTAAAAGCACAATTTAAAGTTATTATGTTAATATTCAGATATTGAGCATCAGTAACTTTGCATCAGTGTTTACCAGATTTGTTGTGCAGTGCAGGACAGACCTGCAATTCATGCTTTATAGTGTGATTAAAGGAATACTTAACCCCCCCCCCCCCCCCCCCCCAAAAAAAAATATTTGTATATCAGCTGCTCACTCTGTTGGTTAAATTAAGGAAGAAAACTTTCTTTTCCTTCCATTACTTCATGGTATAGGAAGACTCCAAAAACCAAAAAAATTCTTGGGGATTCAATGGGGGGCTGTGGTCAACAATAGCAAAACTATACCAAAGCATCTGTTCACAAACTCTCACACAACTCGTGCAGTATAATCCAAGTCTCAGTTATCTAGTTGTATGCTCAGTGTTTCCAAAACACATGCACTTTGGCTAATACCTTAACATTTCAAACACTTTGCATAAACAGTCTCAGGCACAGAGGAGTAGTGTGTCACTGCTGTTTAGAGAGAAGTATTTTAAATGGTGACTGAAGTACTGAGCATACAGCAGGATAACTGAGACTTATTATACTTCACGAGTTGTGTGAGAGTTTGTGAACAGATGTTTTGATATATTTTGCTATTATAAACGTAGACCCCTATGACTTGAATTCATCACGAACACAGAAACACAGTTTTCCTCATGGATTCAGTGTAACACGGGGCGAGTCTCTTGTATAGAAATGATCATTTGTTGGGTGAAGTATTTCTTTGATATAATATTACACTATGATTTACATAATTTATTTTTTATTTTAATTTAGCAGTTTTACTTAAGATACAAACTAGGGGTGTAAATCACCAGTTTTATCATGATACAATATTGAATTTTAAACAGAAAGATGATCATATGGATTGATGTTTTCACTTTGCATTGATGATATTGGATCGTTAATCGTTGAATTGATATATAGATCCACATTGATGGATTGTTACACCCCAAATAGAAACATATACAAGGAGTATAAATGATAGTAGGAAACAGATAAAACTATTGATATTGAAGCAGTATAGGTGAATTCTAACAATATCATGTATGAATCTGAATAGAGAAATAAACACAGATATTTTGAGTGACAGAAATGGATACAATTAGAAAGTGATGTTCCCAGATACATGTACTGCGTCCATTAGGCATTCAAATCTGAAAGAAGGCAGTAAACTCACCATCAAAAAGTCCTGAGCATGAACCCTATTATATCCCCCGATTAAGCTACATTGTGAACAACAAATCTGTGTTGCAATCATAGAAACAGTAGCATCGCATGACTTAACTTACTTTGAAAGTATTCATTGTGTCACAGAAACCACTGAGAGCCTGGCGAAGGTGGCAGTGTATATTTTTAGGTTCATGAAATGTACCAGAATTCACATAGATGTAGGATATTACTATAGATATTCCTGTAAACTTGTAAACATCACAACATCTGCTGTGAGAGCAGATACTGTATTGACTCATGTCAATGACCCAATGATGTTCTACTGTCCAGGTATGTCAGACTTGATTCACTTTATACTGAGTAGATGATTTTGGTGCTATCCATACCCAACTCAAGATTTGAAATTTGCATTTTAGATTTTGGATTTTATTTAGTTTTTTAAAAACATTCTCAACTTCCATGAATGAACATAGCCATTAATACAACCATATAACATCAAACACAAGGTTAACACTACAGTTGGTCCAAAAGCACCTTCTCAGTTTCCCTGGGACCCACTCAAACTACCACCTGTGGGTTTTGGGGACTCACTACATTGAAAACCTATCAACATCACTGAGTAGCTTTTGCATTACACCCCAAGTGCCCAAACCTGTATTTATACAGGCATATACCCAAAAGCTATATTTTATCTGCTTGTTAGTGCAGCTGTCTCTCTTAAGTGCACATTACATATGTTTACACACATACATAACCACCCACATACATATAAGCCCCACCATCATCTACCTGTGTGCAAATCAACTGCTGATAGCAGCACAACAAAAGGATGAGTGTTGACACTGTTAGTATGATAATCTGAATTATTCAGAGGAAGATATCAAAAGCCTGACAGGAGCAACAAAAGGACGAGAGGTTGTGCTCATCTGCTAGTCGGTCACAAATATCAATGCAAATGCAGTGAACTTGCTGAAGTGCACAATCTCTCTATGACGTATGCTGAGAAGTTACAGTCTGAATCAAAGTACAGGATCTCTCAAGTCTGGAAGAGATAAGATATTAAGGTGAACTTTATTGATCCCTGAAGGGATATTGGATCATTGCTGCACTAAAGAGTAGAGGTGTTGGTACATGAGCAGAGAGGTGATAAAGAATATGAAAACCTAATAAAAAAGGACTTGAAGGGAGCAAGTCAGTGTTGTTCTTAAGATTTCCTGATGTTCGCGAGGCTCCGCGTTGATGATGGCAGCCATACATTAATGTAGATTTGATTTTACAGGATTCCCGTGGGGAAAATGCTATAGCAATGTAAGAAAAATAAAAAACAACGGGTCTTCGTCCATCCTTGTGTTTCAGGTAGGGGGTCTGGCATCGGAGAACGTCCGCTGGGCGGAGGCCGTAGAAAATTTTAAGAAGCAGGAGAGGACTCTGTGTGGGGACGTCCTCCTCATCACCGCCTTCATCTCCTACCTTGGATACTTCACCAAGCGCTATAGGCTCCAGCTTATGGACAACACCTGGAGGCCTTATCTCAGTCAGCTAAAGGTGGGTGTCCCTCAGTGGGATTTATATTCATGCATTAAGGGGTGGTGGCTGTGTGTGCGTCCTCAAAAATTTAACTCATCTATGGAGATATTTCATTGAGCCCACAAGAACTGTCAGGGGGGAGGCACATTCCAAGTACAGTGTTAACATAACCATTAGAACCAGAGCCATGAAAAATACCTTTTTTTTCTATTTAGTATTAACTTTTTAGCTACTCACTACAGCACCAAACTTTTTTTTATCAGTCCACAGTTGAAAATACAAAACAGAAAACAGTAAATACACAATTTACTCCTCCACATGGACACCAGAACTGTGATTGGTCAGTATGAGCTGCATATGTTTTCTCCTGCAAGTTTCTGATGCTGGTGGAAATCAGAGGCTGAACAATAAATCAAAACCCACATGCACGGTCTCCACTGTAGTGCTTGTGTTAAGGATAATTCCAGCTTCATACTCCTGTTTTAGGAAACAGCACTGTATAACTGTGATTCAAACTTTTTATGTACTATCTTTCATCTGTAAGGTTCCCATCCCAGTGACACCTGACCTGGACCCTCTGACCATGCTGACAGATGACGCTGACATTGCGGCTTGGCAGAACGAGGGGCTGCCCGCTGACAGGATGTCCACAGAGAACGCCACAATTCTCACTTCCTGCCAGCGCTGGCCCCTCATGGTGGACCCCCAGCTGCAGGGTATCAAGTGGATCAAGACCAAATATGGCGAAAACCTACGTGTCATTCGTATCGGACAGAGAGGGTAAGAGACTTTATGGTGAAATGTGCTCATGGTTATTTTTAGACAAGATTTTGATGGAGGCATCCTGCTGTTTTATCCTGACAGGTACCTGGATGCCATAGAGAGAGCACTGGCAGCAGGTGATGTGGTTCTGATAGAGAATTTGGAGGAAACACTGGATCCTGTTCTTGGACCACTGCTGGGCAGAGAAACCATAAAGAAGGGCAGGTAAAAATACTTTTTAACTTTTTAAAAACTACACAGTTAAAAAAATGAAAGGAACACTTAAATCAGACATCAGATCTTGATGAACGAATACTCAAGTTTAAAATCTGATGCACCTTGTTTAATTTGTTGAGAACAAAATGATGAAACAATGGTCAATGGCAACCAAAATCATCAACCCACTGAGGACTGGATTTAATATCACGCAGAAATTCAAAATAAAAAAAACAAAATCACAGGCTGATCCAACTTGGGTGATTTTTAACATGGTAACTCATAATGTGACTCAGTCATGTGTATGGCCACTGCGTGCACTTCTGACAACATCTGGGCATGCTCCTAATGAGTCGGCAGATGGTGTCCTGGGGCATCATCTCGCAAACCTGAATCAGGGTGTCATTGAGCTCTTGGATAGGGGTGGTGGTACTTGGCAGCGTTGGATGCACTGATACATAACATCCGATAGGTGCTCTTATGGATTTAGGCAAGGGTAATGAGAGGGCAAGTCAATGGCATCAATGCCTTCGTCATCCACAAACTGCCTACACACTATGAGGTTGGACATTGTCCTGCACCAGGAGGACCCCAGGGCCCACTGCAACAGTGTAAGGTCTGAAAAATTGCTCTGAGGATTTCATCCCAGTACCTAACAGCAGTCAGGGTACCGTTGGATATAACATGGAGGTCTGTGAAACCCTCCAAGGATATGCCTCCCCAGACCATCACTGACCCACCACCAAATAGGTCAAGCTAGATGATGTTACAGGCAGAATAACATTCACCACGGTGTCTCCAGACTTTTTCACGCCTGTCACATGTGTTCAATGTGAACCTGCTCTCATCTGTGAAGAGCACAGGATGCTAGTGGCTGACCAATCCAGCTAATCGAGCTGCACAATGTTGGGCTATGAGCACAGATCCTACTAGAGGATGTCAGGCTCTCATGCTACCCTCACTTAGTATGTTTCTGACAATTTCGTCAGAAACATGCACACCAGTAGCCTACTGGAGGTCATTTTATAGGGCTCTGGCCATGCCCCTCCTGGTCCTCCTTGCACAAAGAAGCGAATACTGGTCTTGCTACTGGGTTGATGCCCTTCTACGGCCCTGTCCAGCTCTCCTTGTGTAACGGCCGGTCTCCTGGTATCTCCCCCATGTTCTTGAGACTGTGCTGGGAGACACAGCAAAACTTCTAGCAATGGCACGTATGGATGTGCCATCCTGGAGGAGCTGGACTACCTGTGCAACCTGATTGGGTTGCAGGTACTGCTTCATGCTGCCAGTAGTGACAAGGACACTAGCAGAACACAAAACTAGAGAAGAATTAGCCAGGAAGGATGAGGAGAGAGCAACTCTATGTGGCCACCACATGTTAAACCATTCCTTTTTTGGGGGTTGTCTTACTTTTGCCTATCAGTTGCACCTGTTGTAACTTTCATTTGTACCAAAGCAGGTGAAACTGATTCACAATCACTTGTGCTTCCTAAAGGGACAGATTGATATCCCTGAGGTTTAACTGACTTGGTGTTATACTGGGATGAATAAGTGTTCCTTTTTTTGTGAAGTGTACTTAACATTGTGAATCAGGGCTGAGTATTGAACCTTTCCTGCTGACAAGACAATCTCTCAAGACAACCTCAAGTTATATTTAGTAGCTTTTATTCTTGTCATATTTTGTTAAAAAGCAGATGAAAATTCTCATTCATCCTGTAAAATATAGATGAATAAATATTTTAAGGACTTCTTGTTTACCTTGGCTTAAAATTTTGAATGAGTTAATTGTTGACCTTGAAAACACCAGTTGACTGAAAAAAACCTCACCTCAAAGTCCATGTAGTAGCTGTTCACCACCGTTTTTGTAGATGTCCAGTCAGTGTTAATGGTAAGTGTAGTCAATTGAAGCAATAAATTCCTCATTGTGTGCTATATTGACCAAGAAAACAGAGTTCTACTGCTCGCGTAGCTGTGCCTGCAGTGCCTACGTGTACTAGGATGCATTGCACACAAGCCTCTGGTTCTTATTTTTACAGTCTATGCTTTTGACACCTCTAGCAATTACAGGCCTAGTAACCTATAACTAGTACTTTGTTGGCCAAAAAATGGCGTTAGCTAACCAATTTATCGTCAAGATCCTGAAGGAGTTCTTAAGCACATATCTGTTCAAGTAAGGAGTAAATATAGGCTCTCTCAGGGCCCTCCGCGCATCGATGACAGCATCCAACAAAAACTGCCTCCTCTGAAAATCATTGCAGCACAAAGTTTTTGTTAGCAACAAAGGGCACATTCAGCAAAGGCACCACCAGTCGCTGTTTGCTCTCAGCAGCTCAAGTTCTGGAGGTTCCCCACCGGCCATATCCTCTACTTGCAGCCACAGCCCCAGCCTTTCTCCACTGCATTTTTATCGCCGTATTTTTGGGCCCGAATCTGCTTTGTATCTGAGTTAGCCCAAACAATATGAAATGTATCTTTATCCATGACATCATCTGCACATATTTTTTGAGATGCCATTTCCACTGTTGGAAACGTAGTTAGCTTGCAATACAAGTGAAGTTCATTTTGAGCAGAGTCAAGATCACGAACCCCTGGCTACCTGGAGGCAAAATCCAACCTATGTCACTGCCACATCAAATGATGGTGCTGAATATCAGGAAGAACAACAGATAATACTGCTGTGAACTCAGCTTCCTTGATCAGTATAGCACACACTAAGGCATTCATTGCTTCAGTCGACTACATTTACCATCAACATTGATTGGACATCTGCATAAAAGGTGTCAAATATCCCCTGTAAATGTGTCTGTGGCACCTACTATCAAAAACTGCCACGAATGGAAAGGTGGCATTGAATCCTTGCTCATTCCTCAGTTTCTGATTTAAAACATGCAGAGTATGCATTCAAACAGCAATTAAGCAATTTGAGGGACACAAGATCACTAAAGTAAAGGTAAGTGGCCTAATGCGTGTTTACGTAAACTCTCAACCTTCTTAATTCAAACTGTGTTATATACTTTTTTCATAATAAAGATGTGTAGTGCCATCACTAGTGCCACATGTATTCATTTTATATCAATCATGTTTTTAATAAATATGTGTTTCATAGTAGCCTTCCTTTACCAAAGATGTCATCTTGTCAGTGTCATTCACCTCTCACATGATGGATAGGATGCTGTATGATCTGAAGATGAAATGATCAATTCTGCGTGGTTGTTTATGGAAATCATAATTGATTGACATGTACATTTTGAGTTCATACAGATATGCAGTGCTAAATGTTATCACACTTACTTTAACTGAAAACACTATTGTCATATACTGTAGACTTTCCACATGTGCATAATGTAACAATCAGCAAACACACATCCAGTCCTTGTTTATCACAACAGGTGCATAAAAATCGGAGACAAGGAGTGCGAGTACAACCCCAGTTTCCGCCTCATCCTGCACACCAAGCTCGCTAGCCCTCATTACCAGCCGGAGCTGCAGGCTCAGTGCACCTTGATAAATTTCACAGTGACCAGAGATGGGCTGGAAGACCAGCTGCTGGCTGCGGTGGTCAGCATGGAGAGACCTGACCTGGAACAGCTGAAGGTGAGGAAGTCAAAGTGTCAGTGGAGGCAGAGAGATACACTACCTGATACAGCTATTTAACAACAGAGAGGAATTTTTTAGAGATTTCTTTTCATCTGACATGTCGCAGGAATGTAAAAGTGAACCTGAGCAGACATGAAAGCAATATCTGTCACGCTCTTCAGGTGCTATCAGAGAACAAACAACTGTTCCACGTTGGACGCTTTTGAGTTTCGCTCCTAACATCTCTTCTGTGCAGGTGTAATTAAAAGAAACAGCGAGAGGAGTCAGGGGCCTCCAGAAGCCGGGCGTAGCTCTCTTGCTCGTCATTACCCATCTTTAACGCTTCATGTCTGCAAGAAAACATCGTCTGTCTTAAACATCACAAGAGGCTGCAGGTCCAGGCTCTTTGATTCCAAAACAATCAGCTGGTGCCTTTGATTAACGGCACACTAAGTGGATGTGTGATAATTATGGGGCTTTGGGTTTCTCACTTAGGGAGACTGGGACACTGCAAGGCTGTGTGTGTAACTGTGTGTGTATGGGTGACTGTGTCCATGTGGCATGTGTATACAGAACAAGTAGTTACTACAATTACCTAAAGTTATCCATGATTTCACAATTTTTTAAAGTCAGGGTAAAGTATAATCTGAGATTTACATCTAAATATATTAGAAATGTTTTTTGCTACTTCTGTCAAGGATTTTTTTTGGCGGGGCTAAAAGCCTGCTCGCTGACCTAATGGAGCAACCTTTAGCGTAAGCCCCTCCCCTACACTATACAAGAACTAGAGCTGATGAGTTTTATTGTTTGAACGAATAAACAAAAATCACCATTCTGTTTCAGACTGACAAGAACTAGGCTGATTTTTGGGCAGGTCAGTGTCCTCTGGCTCCGAATTTGATTCTGCCTCTGGTGGATCAAACATGTATGGCTGTCCAAGTCCAATAAGGTTACAAGATGGAGAATCCTTTGTCGTGCTATATTTAAAAGAGGATGCAGCTTTTTAGTCATTCAAATTTGGCTGGGTGCTCAATAACACATTTTTCTGTGGTGTGACAAAATCATTACTCTTTTATATTTGCTGTACTCCAAATGTCAATGAACATATCCTTTTCTTGTGGGAGTCGTTGGAATGAGGGGCTCCCTGTGGAGTTTTTCACCTCTCATAGCATTATGGAGCTTTTAAAGTTGGCCCATAGACTGTATAAAAATGATAAACATAGCCACCGTGACCTCACTAATTGATTTGCATTGTGACTGTGGCCATCTTGGAGATTTGGAGTCTGAACTAATGAGAAGTATATTGATGAGAACATTCTAGCGAGTGGCCTCACATTATTCCAATGACCTACAGGTGGCGGTAACACGCCAAGATACACAGTAATGTGCCAGCAAAGGCTGCTAGCTAGTAAAGGGATGTAAATAGTGCATAATTTAAAATACTTAAAAAATGGGCTTCAGACATGTTTTAGGGGAATGATTTTTTGTGTTTTGGGGAGTAAAACTAAACTTCAACATAACTTTTCTACGTTTACAAAAAATTCTACAGGTCTTCCATATTGTAAGGTGTTCACTTGGGTTGTGGTCTGATGACTATGACGGCCATAGCATATGATTCACATCATTTCCATTCTCTTTAAATGATCCAGTGAGCCTTTGTGCATTGCATGGGAATATCTGCCTTTGTTGTCCACTCATTTATTCATGATTTATTTTGATTTGCCAGCCATCTGTATTATTACTAGACCCACCCTGCTACCCGCACATATGACCATTTAGTTCCTCAACCTGACCCAATGCACTGACAAAAGATCTATAGCCCAACCCGAAACTGCAAATCCTATAATAACCATGCCCTGATTATTTTTATACATTTCATACATGTGAAACTAATATATTTTAAAATATTTCATTATTATTTAAATATATTTATCATCCAATACCTGCCATTTCACCCATATGTTAATTTTTTTCACCCAAACCCTAACCTTGAAATAAAATGAAGACAAAATACCACCCCCATATCACCTTTTATGTGGGTCACCTGCCATCAGGTCAGGTACCCGATGCAGGACTTTGGCTGCTGCTAAACAAAAATTACTAACTGACATGGCTATGATTTAATGTCTTAATTTATGTAAAAATGTGCTGCACACAATATCTTAAAACGTCATTATTTCTGTTCAGTTATGATGGCTATCATTTTTCACGCTGCCTACTGCTGTATGTATTCATTTAGTCAAACACTTGTCCTGTTGTTACATATGCATCAGTTATTATGTAAGATCCACCCAACAAATAGTTTTAAATAGAAAATTTAAAAGCTTTTATGAACTGGTTAGTTTGAAGTATCAACATGCTAAAATGTTAGACAATATGAAAAGATAAAGTATTTGTAATTGAATGTCCTGGCTTGTTACTCTGCACCATTCATGATGAATCACTCCTGGAGGCAATAATCCATTAATCCTAAATCAGAAAATCAAATGAACCTTTGAAACACTAACAATTCACCATTGTGTTGCAGTCACCCTGGATACTGTTCCTTTGACACTCTTCCATTTATCATCAGGCTCCGGGAATTGTGTAATTGTATCTTGATACTATCCTCAAGGGAGTTTCATCCTTTTTTATCACTTTGGCAGACTCATTTATGTTCACACATCCACCTCTCCAAAATCAAAAGAGAGGCAGATAGGAGACACTTTAAGGTGCATTTTCCCTCTTCATGTAAATCACTGTCTTTGTTGTGTGGACTCTTGACTGAGAGGAGGAGAGAACTGTTGTTTCACTCAGTTGATGAGCCGTCAGCAGCTGTAGCTTTAAGCTGGTCATTTTCTGTACAGTACAGCAGGTTCCTGGCAGCTGCACGGTCGACTGTTGAGTAATGAGCAGCAGATAGTCACGATGTCCACAGTATGGTGTGAATGTAAATGTTCGTAATTAAGCAAAAATTCACTTGATCAAAGCTCCAGCACCTAATGATGCCTCTCACTTGTCTCATCGACAATCTGTGCTTTTCATGTCAGCTTTTTGAAACAGATTAGCCAGTGGCGCTACTGTACCACAGCAATTAGACAACACATTGACACACTTCCACTGTTCCTTAAATGCGGCTCTTGTTAGTGGAGGGGAAAGGAGAATCAGAAATCCCTCTCAGTTCAGAACACGTCTGGCTGACGGCAGTGTCTCAGAGTGATCACAGCGGAAGATAATGTGGGAACTCTGTTAACGGGTCAGGCAGATTTACTCCAACACAATCCTATTTGCATTTTGATGGTTTTCCGGAGGTGTCCTTGTTTGCATTGGCCCTGTGTAGGCAGAGCTTTATTGGGACCTGTAGGCTTTCATCCACGGACAAATCAGCTTCTCTCTTTAATAAATGGAGAGCAGGAGTTATTTCAGGCCTTATGTCCCCTCAGCAAAATCCAATGGAGAAGTGAAATGTGACTTAATGAAGCTTGTTTAATTAGCATTTCACTGAGATCGGAGGGTGAGAAAAAAACAAGATCTGGAACTCACTTATCATTTTAATTAACACTGAAAGTTGAAGGTGGGTGGAGGTGGTGGGGTGAGGTGGGGATTGCTGTGTACACTCCAAGCACCTTCCTATCAAAACACAGCCTGTAGAATGAAGCGCTGAATGGCTTTTTGTTGCCAGTAAACAACCCGAGCTGATAACAATCATCCAACTGATAGCGACTGATACCTGTTTATATTCATTGAACGGCTCGGCATCATTATACCTTTAATGAGTTTAGCGTTGCCGCTCAGCTGTAAGATGACTACCGGGTGAAAGAGCTCTCATTTAACCAAGCCAAAGACGGGCTAAGGAGCTTAAAATGTCAAGTTGCCTTTTTGGAGAGAGCACAGGGGATCAGTCTACAACCTTTTACCACAATAACTCCCTCCTCTGGTCCTCCACACACACACACAAGTGTGCACGCTAACATTCTTGTGTGCGTTTGCTCCGGCACAATTCGTACCCAGACCTTGTGCGTTAATGAGAACTAAAATGCTCCACTTCCCAAATTACCTTAACAGGGCTGCTCCGTGGCACTCAGTAATCATTTGCCTAAAAAAATGATAGATGTAATATCTCATTTTAATCCCAATTAGAGTGTTCTGCTGACTGGTTAATTGTTTGTTTTTCCCAAGCAAGGGTAATTACAAATACAATGTGCCAGAGGAAAGCTAATCGTTAAAAACTGACTCATTACTGGGTCCAGTTGGGAATGTTTTAGTGCGGATAGCTTTTTCCCCTCAGGAGCACTGAGTCTGGGCAAATGTAGAAGGTCACAGTTGACTCACACAGGCAAATGTCCACGGTTAAATGTCCACCACTCAAAGCCATTCTGTGATTTTTCTCCCTGCTCGAAGCGCACACATGTCAGGTCTTTCTTTAAAATGCCACAAATCACATCTTTTTTTCTCCTGTGCAGTTCTGGCAGAGGAGAACTTTTAAACTACAGAGTGGGTAATAACGTCAAATTCAGAGCATGTAGGATTTAACAAGGCAGAGGCTCAATTAGATTTAACAATGGTGTAAAATACTTCTCATCACTGCAATAGGAAATACTGTCATAAAGAGACCAATTAAGCAGTGTGATCTCTTAAACTATCTGCTCCCCTGGCGCGATCTGAGCTAAGTATGTCTTTTGTCATGGGAACATTATGCCACGGGGAGGAGGAACAGCTCCGCCCCCACTCTTCCCCGGTGATCACACAGGGGCGGAAACAGCTCTGCCAGAAACCTATTACCACCGTCTGTCGGGGGATCACGCCACTCAAAAACCCTCGCCTGTTATCAGCCACCGACAACACTAGAGTAGGCAAATCTCACAACAGCCCACCCTCCTGTAATTACAACAATTCAAAGGTCACAGAGGCTTCTATTAAGGGAAACTTCAATAAAGCAAAGTCATTATCGAGCAGAAACGAGGAGCTGCAACAGACTGTAATGAAGGACAAAGCAGGATGAAGCAATAAAGAGAAGTAAGCGTGCCCTGTCGACTTTGTTCTCTCGACGCCTCACAAACGTCCAGCTTTGAAAAAGCGAAAGTTTCTGTCAGACACTTTTGGGTTTTTTTTTCCCAGCCAGAACAAAGACTAAAAAAACTGTTTGAGTTCAAGTTTTATTAGAGGACAGGGTGCACTAATCCATATGGTGAGGTCTGAGTAAAACCCATTATGAATGAGCTGTGTGTGTCTGTGCTTAGGTTCTGTGTGTATTGGTTCATAATTGAATACATAATGTCTCGTAACAGATAATTTATACTGTAGGTGTGTATTGTATGTTGCACAAGTGTTAGTGTATATGTATGTGTGTATAATTCACCATCAAAGCTCCCTCCCCCCATGCTGGAATCGACGGCCTCATCACATAGAGGGTTAGGTCGCTCTGCAGAGGTTTGATGACGGCAACCAGACGGAAGCTGGCTAATCCAGCCCAGGGTGCTTCCCTTCATGGGTCAGGATAGCCAATGCAGAGCATATTGATTAGTTCTGCCTTTGAGGTGCCCTTCAGTATTCATGTCCTGATATTGACCCACACCTTGAACATCTCCCACCACCTCAGATTATAATGATAAGGCCAGAGAGGAACTTGACAACAAGCATATATCTGAGAAATCCTCTGACATGTAGAATCTGAACATTTTTGTGTGTTTCATTGTTTGATAGTCCGACCTGACGAAGCAGCAAAATGGATTCAAGATCACTCTAAAGACGCTGGAGGACAACCTGCTGTCCCGTTTGTCCTCGGCTTCAGGAAACTTCCTGGGTGACACAGAGTTGGTGGAAAACCTGGAGACGACCAAACGCACAGCTGCCGAGATTGAAGAGAAGGTACTGTTGTCTTTGATCTTTACTACTCCTTTTATTTAATCATCACTTCTGTCCTCTTAATAAGTCGTTAGATTACAGCCTGCATAAAAGGTATCAATAAAATTTGAACCTATACTGGAAGAAATATATATGTACAGGGGCAGTTAAGATTACTGTGGGGTGCAAGGGGTTAACAACTTTGTGTTTAGTTGGGATTTAGAAATAAATTACACTGTAAATATTTTGAAATTACTGAATACATACATTACAATAATGGGGCACAATAATAATGTTATTGGGTAACAAGATAGGAAAAACTGGAAAAATAAACCTGGTCCCTTGTTCAAACCTTTATACTGTAATTACAGTGTGGTGCTCCTTCTTTCTCTTTTTTTTCAGAGCCAACAAAAAACAAAAAAAAACTTGAGCTTATGGGCCAGTTCCTGCATACACACACAATACATCAGTCCCGATTAATGCCTGAATTAATGGGGCTAGTTGGAATCGTTTAAACAATCAGTGCTCTGCAGCTGATCTGCTTCTGCTCAACCCCTCAGTGGTGCCCCCAGAAATGTTTCACTGGGGTGGCCAGGTGGGGCTGGTGAAACCAAAAGCCATAACTGACGTTCAGGAATGCTATTATGCTGTTGTAGTGTAGACTAGTTGTAAACTATGACAGTGTGGAGAGTTAAAAATCTGACAGCTGTCCATTTCAAAATACACCCAACACAGCAGGTTCAATAAACTCTTCTGTCAGAAAAAACAAACAGTATAAACAGTTATTACTCACCTATGATGCATGATTTGAATCCACATATCGATATTATCCGGACAGAAATGCTGCTTAAAACAGCTGTCGGTCCAGGTCTAACACACTGCCAGTAGTCCAGATGATCTACATCAGTGAAATATGCTGTTCAAGCACATTATTACATCCATAGATATCTACAGACTGCCATTGCATTGTTTCAAGTGTTTATATTTTTCCAAATATTATACATAATTTCTCTCGTTCTGCATGTAAACAAACAACTTGCCGATTTCAAAATGGAGGCAAGCTCCAGGCCTTTCAATGGACACCTCACTTGAGCCAATAGGAGCTTCCAGTGCTGTTGCTATGGCCTCGATAGCCAACTAGGGCATGTATTGAGTGAACATTTGTTACTCACATTTTAAATTAAAAATTAAAGCCAGAGATTGACCCGATGGTTTATGGGTCTTGTGGTCATTGACACTCAGGAGCTCCTCACAGGCTCAATAGACTGTTATAAATGTACAGAAATGATAAACACCATCAACACCTCTTTTGGCTTAAGGGAAAAAAACTGGCTTATCAGTTTAGGTTTTCTCGTGAACTGAATTGAATTTGGACTAGGTGGGCCTTATGATATGGTCACATTGTGGTTTCCAGCTAATGCCTCCCATTTCTAGTCATCTGCATCAACTTTTTCAATAAAATATTCAGGCGAAGACGAGAAAAACAAATGGATTTCAGTGTGTGAAAACTCACATAACTCAGTGACAGAAGCATTTACAGGGATTCTGACTGTTTGGGAAAAACCCTGTTACCTTTCAAATGAGACCATGTACACATTTTACAAGAGGAATTGTACATCGATATATTTTGATTTCTTACTTTCCAGTTAATTTTACGAATTATCTGATGTACATAGATTGCATTGCATTGATGGAGTGCTGGTGACCACCAGCAAACATCCCTTATGGTGTATGTGTGTGGGCTAATGTTTCTGGTTTTGTTTTGTTGTGTTTTTTATATTTCATTATATTTTGCATACTTTGTTTTTTCTAAGTACTTAAAAAAACAATTTGTGCTTTTGGTTGGTGCTGTGTAAAATATTTCGAGGTTCTTCCTAGGTGTAAATGTTTTAGCCCCTCATCCTCTGTACTTCTTCACCTACCTGTTTGCAGGTAAGGTTTTCATTGGTAATCCATGTACAATATATTTACACAGTAATTAGCAGACTGTAATACTTTCCCTTGCTTTATCTGTTTTTTGGTTGGTATATCAGATCCTGTCAGGTTATCTCTGCCAGAGAAGAATTACTTTCTGATACTTCAGAGCACTTCTGAGAAAGTACTGTATGATGATGTGAGAGTGTGCCTTCTGTCAGTGAGGAGATGAGCGCTGCCTTTGCAGATGTTCATTCTTAAGCATAATTGCGCAAGCATTTGCTGGTTTAAAAAAAAAAAAAAGGCACATAATTGTCGTGTTCCACGCAGTGAGAACATTTTGGCTGGAACCGTGAAATTGGAATAGCTCTGCTCTTCACTGAGGATGTTTTATTGGATGGTGCACAATTTCATCATTAGCTGATTGATGAACCCTGAGCATATGAGTGTCTGTGCAGATGTATGCCTGTGAATGTGATTCCATATGTGTTTGCGCTGTCTTTACTGCAGGTAAAAGAAGCCAAGGTGACAGAGGCCAAAATCAATGAGGCTCGGGAGCACTACCGACCAGCAGCAGCACGGGCGTCCTTATTGTACTTCATAATGAACGACCTCAATAAAATCCACCCCATGTACCAGTTCTCTCTCAAGGTAGCCTGTCTATTGACATGCCATGTTTCCTCCCAGCCTCACAGGCCCCCAGTGAGACCCCTCTTTACACTCACTTCTCTGTTCCTCCCCTCCTTCTTCCATTTGCTCACCGTGTTTTATGCTCTTTGCCCTGCTTTTATTGTGTTTGTGGCTCCCTAATGTGGTTATGTAGAGCATAATGTCTTTCATATTGTCAGCCAGCAAGCACTGAGAGGAGGCAGCCTGAGATATGGTTTGCAATCACTCCCAACTCCGCAGGTAGCTGCCCTGGCCCAAGTTATTTCCCAACATAATCAAATGAAAACACATTCAGAGTATATGTACCTTTGACCTTGAGAATGAAATGAAACACATTATAATGTGTTCTTCACACAATGTTAGAGCAAAGTGTGACAAAGTGTGACAGAAGTGACACCCAAGCAGAAGATAATGACAATTCTATTTCCTTAGTAGCGTTTCAATTTCCTGTCAGTCCAACCCCCACGTGTTTCACGGAGTTACAGTAAGACAAGAGCTTGCACCTTTGATTAGTAGGTAGATGTGCAGAATTTATACCTGCTCTGCTTGATGTTTGCTGTATAATCACAAGCTGAGAACAGTTAAGCTGAATATTATGAAATCATTTCAAGGGTGAATGAGCTGCACTTTCTCTGTTAACAGCCCTTTTAAAGAACATCATTATACAGTAGAATTCAGGGGTGTCAAACTTATTTTAATTCATGAGCCACATACAACCTCATATGATTTCATATGGCTCAGACCTGTAAATTCATTGCCTAATAACCTTTAAATAAAAAACAAAAATAGCACCTCTGAATGTTCCCTTTCTTTTGGTGTAAAGAAGTACAAGTACATTCTAAAAGGTCACTTGACAGATGAGGTTGGCACGGCGTTCCAGTGGTTGGCACTCTCACCTCTCACCTCTGACCATTTCCGACTCTAAATTACCCATAGTTGGGAATGTGAGTGGTTGCCTATCTCTTTGTGTCAGCCCATATGAGAGTCTGGCAACTCTGTACCAGGATAAGCGGTTATGGAAAATGAATGATGAACAGCCTGAGATAAAAAAAAAATAAGTGCAATTTCAACAATATGTCTTTTTCCACATTCAGTCAGTCCACTACATGTGCATTTTTCCATATATTTCCATTCCTTTGACAGCCAAAGATGCATTGATTAGTGCTTCTTTGGACAATTAAAGGCCAACATTAGCCATGTATCAACATAACCCAGTTGTTAATAAACTTGACCACTGGTTTCTATTTTGTTAACTCTAAGTGACTCTGTATTCAACAGCACTGTTACTTGTAACACTTTAATGTCGGATACTGAGCCGGTGTTGAGTGTTGTACCCGCTCCTGTGTGTCCCCAGGCATTCAGTGTGGTCTTCCAGAAAGCAGTTCTGAAGGCCGAGCCGGATGAGGCTCTGAAGCAGCGGGTGTCCAACCTAATTGACAGCATCACCTCCTCAGTCTTCCAGTACACCACCAGAGGCCTATTTGAATGTGACAAGCTCACGTACATCGCCCAACTCGCCTTCCAGGTAGGGAGGGAAGCGGGTTTCATCTTCTGCATGGTTTGTTTTGAGAACAAGCTTGCCATTGAATCAGTTGCCCCTGAGACCAGCGGCCCTGTTTGGACCTAATCAAGTGGAAAGGAAATGTGGTTTGTGCTGAAAATACAACACTTCGAAGTCCTTCCTGTTTGTTGTGTCCCCAGATCCTGTTGATGAATAAAGAAATAAATCCTGCAGAGCTGGACTTCCTCCTGAGATACCCTGTGCAACCAGGTGTAATATCACCGGTGGATTTCCTGTCCAACCACTCCTGGGGAGGGATCAAGGTACAGAGAGGCAATGATACTGAAATGGAATGATGTGAAATGCAAAAGGGTACCACCTGTAGATAGTGACTGCAACTGTGGCTGAAACAATTAGTTGGTTCATTGAATAGTCAGTCGACAGAAAATTAAGCTTCAAAAACATTTGAAAAATGTATGAAACTTTATATGGTCCTTTTATCAAGGAAAACTGCAAGCATTAATTGTTAGCATATTGTGATGTGAAAATGTGAGGATTTGCAGCCCAGTCGACAGAAGACAATTTTGGCATTGTACACTTGTGCAAACCAAGAATTTGTAACATTTGTACCTTTTGTACGTATGACGTAGTTCAGATCACATGTGTATGAGCTGAGTTCCTCAACAGGAGGAGAAAGGGAAGGTGGATAGTGTGACACCTAGGTGAGACAGCTGCCAAGCAGCAGACAGCCACAGACCACTGTTCAAGACCAGCACAAGTATTTTTTAACAATAGGTTGGGACATTTTCACTCCTGTTTGTTGCAAACTGGGTACTTAAAAACAAAATATGATGTTTGCCTAATCCTAACCAAGTGGTTTTTGTTCCTGAACCTAACCATACCTTAACCACAGTGTTGTCACAATGTAAATGTCCACCTTTCCCCAGAGAGGGTAGTTAGTATTGTCACTCCCTGCTGTGGTGAGCTTGGTGCTTCCTTTTTGGGAGTGGCCAGGTCAGAGCCCAGATGCACAATATTATTGCTGTACATAATTTTCACATTCACATAATATTCTGTTCCATAGCAGTTAGCTGACTGAATGTTGGTGTGATTGTAAATGTAAACTATTTCCTTGCAAAAAAAAAAAGTGCAAAACTTTCTAACAGAGATCTCCACAAAACAATTTAAAGTTGTTCACAACATCCCAAAAAAATTTGCTCTTTCATGAAGATAAAACTCCATTGTGTTTCAGTACTAATTTCAGCAATTAGCATGAGCTAAATCTGCCATCTCTAGCAGGTTTGTGTCTGACTGACAAACACGCAATTACAGGTTAATTTAAAAACAAATGTATGTAAATTTATGGGTCTATTTAACTATATTAAATAATGTATTTTTATTTTTATTTTTAAGTTTCTTAATTTATCATCATATATAATGGCCACTTATTTCCTGATACTGTTCCTGTCTTTGTTTATATTTTATGTAGGTATTGATGTGTTTTCTTTTTTCTCTGTTACCCTCTTTTTCAGTCTTATGTTAAATAATCCTTAAAAATGCAAATTTAAAAAAATTAAAAAAATAAAAACAAATGTAACGGACAGAAATATCTTCTATCTGTTTTCTCTCGGTAACACTAATTACAATAATCACATCACTAGTTAGAGACAGGGTGTCTAAACACCTGAATTTCTTTGCAACAAAGCCTTGCTGCAGAGACAAAGGAGATGAGGTCATTTCCTGTAATTCACTGCATGAGCTACACATGGTGTGGCATTGGCTGGCTTACTGAGCCACCTTTGGAGACGTTGCAACAGCGCATGCCATGCATCATAACATAGACCCAACTAATCAATGATGTAATTCATTGACAATTATTTTTATAATTGATTTTAATCGATTTGTTGCTGCAGCCCTGCAAATACAATTCCATAATAGAGTCCCCTCAGTGTTGAAATCTCTAAAACAACCTGCACTAATAAAAAATTAAATCGACTGCCATGTATTTCCAAACTGTGAGAGAGCACTACTAAATCCCTCAAGTTATTTAAGTGCTTAGGTGCTTTTCATAGTAGTGGAGTTGCTTCTCATGATGCAATTTATGCACCCCAGTCTCCCAGCAACAACTTTGCATTAAAACATACTTAAAGAGTTGGGAGCGTAGTTAAAGTCTGTTTTCTCTGTTTCACCTAGACCTCCACTCTGTCAGCATGTGCTTCTCCGGGGACCGGCTTTGCTCCGTGACCCCAGTGTGTTTTAACATTGAAAGGGCACCAGAACAGCTCTGCATACCCGTATTTCATCTTAAAGAACATACGACTGGCAGTGCAGCCCTGTGGATGTCAAGCAGCAGAGGTTCCCTCTCTTGTCAGATCAGTTTAGCTGCAAACTAAACCTTAACGGCAGCATGTTTTTTTAGCCTCTCGTACTCATGAATTTTTCAATCTGTACCGCCTAGAATATTAACTTAACCTAAACCCCCGTGTGGGTTTGGAGACGGCCTTTCTCCAACTGCACTCAACCTACTGTGGATGTTAAAGGCCTTGCTAATCAAATTCTGTCACTCGATTTTCTTATCGCAATTGGAAACATAATCAGTTGGAAAGCTTTAAAGGAGGGTAAGATCCACTGATTGTTTGGCCCTCTTGATGATATTAGCAGAGCAGGAATCCCATAAGACCCAGTGTACTCTTCCCTCACCGCAGCTCAGAGGTTGCCAACCTCCAGTGGTAATTAAACAAACTGAGTTGAAGTGATGGACTGTGTGCTGAGCCGCTTTGCCTCACTCTGCCTTACCACCTCATGCCCAGTGGTGAGTGGTTGTAGAAAAGTAGATTATATGGATTCACATGGATATTTCCTCCATGACACCTTGTACTCTATGTGTCTGCTGTGGGAGGGTTTCAGGACCCTGCTCCTAGTATATATAGTAGAAGAGACAGCATTCACACTGCATATGTGTGTGTATTCTCGTCAGTGTGTGCACCTGCTCGAGGCTGCACTGCGTGACACTGCTGTTCTCTGCAGATGAGATAAGGTGTCTGTCAGCTGGGGCATCGCAATGAAGCCCCTACTGCTTCTGCAACGGATGCATATTCAGTCCTCCCACACCCCCCGTCCCGTTATGAAAGGGATCGTGTTTACTCAGCATTTCCGTTTGAATAAATATTATTTATATTGGCGTGAGGAAAGATAAGCACTCTTCTGTTTTTTTTTTTGTTTGTTTTTTTTTTTTGTCTCTTTTGTTCTACCAACTTTTGCAAACAAAGTTAGTCCTTTTGCTGTGTATTGTGAAATGTTTCTGAAGTGGTCAAACTGTAAAGTGTGCATCACTGATCACAAAGTAGCAGCACTTTTCCAAATACAGTAGTTTTTCTGTTTGAATCATTTTTCTTTCCCCACCCACCAGTCCCTGTGCTCCATGGAGGAGTTCAGGAACCTGGACCGAGACATCGAGGGCTCAGCCAAACGCTGGAAGAAGTTTGTGGAGTCCGAGTGTCCAGAAAAAGAGAAATTCCCACAGGAGTGGAAGAACAAAACCTCTCTCCAGAGACTGTGCATGATGAGGGCCCTGAGGCCTGACCGCATGACGTACGCCGTCAGGTGAGAGGTGGAATCACTGCTCACCCTTTGCTCTGTGATCTGTGAACTGACCTGAGCTGTTTGGTGAAAGGGTAAAGGTTAAACAGCTTAACCTTTGGCTTATGGTTTGAGTTGAGAGGGTACCTGTGCTCACTGCTGCTACTGTTGTCGTCTGTTGCTTAGAAGTAGCGCAATTACACGGCTCTCTAAGTATAATTGCTGAGCCTAATTATTAGCCCCCAACCTCTGTCTAGAAACCTCATTGTATCAAACTTAGATTCCATTTTCTCCAGATATTAACATGAAATCTCTACTTGGATATTGTATCTTAAATTTAAAACACAGTAAAGAGATACATACAGCAATGCCTGGAGCTACCCATATAGAGAATAGGCAATAACATCATGGAGAATTGCATTCTGGGTAGTAGCATCCACTTCTTTAACAGACAAAAAACAAGAGTGGACCGGTCAAAGAGCAAGTGCAACATCCCCTGAGAGAGAAGCTAAACAAGGAAGCAAAGTAGAGCTACCTTGCAAAATTAAAGTAAATAAATGGCCTCATTCCGTACAAACAAGTGATGCCGTCAGGCGGTTCGAGTAAGGGTCTTAGCAAATATTGCAGGTTTTGAGCTGGCAGTTCACAAAACTGACCAAGTAGTGTTCTGAACATTTTAAGAGACATGCAATAATACAACTTAGCATCCTGCTCCCCTCTCTCTCTATGTCCTTCTGTCTCTCTCACACAAAAAGCAGCTTTATCATTAGCGTTGTTGTGCTCAGGCTTTTCGTTATTCAGCTTTTGAGCAGGAAAATTTGTTAAAGTCTGACATATTTAAATCTCTCCAGTCACACTGTCCAGTATAAATATTTCCCTCTGCAAATATGTATGCCTAACAGCCAGCAAGTGCCTCTCTGTCCACACTAAATCTGTTAAATATGCACTTGTGTAACATCATGTAGACAGACCATGTACCTGTCAGCTGTACGCTCATGCAAACAAACCATGTTGGACATCAGCTGTGCGCTTGAGATCATACTTAAGACTTAATCACTTAAAAGACAGGTGAGTACTTGCTGTCTTACTGTGTTTGTACGTTTTAAACAGAAAAACGTTTTATATTTTGATATTTACCGTAAATGACATTCAGTATAACCAACACACATTTGTCAGTGATGGTCATTACAGGAAACTCAGCTTTGGTTTGCAGGTTTACGGTTTGATTAATTGATAACCACATATGTTTACGGGTCAGGTGGAGAGCAGTTATAGCAGTTGATAGTGCAGCAGACGTTCAACATCCCACCATGTGTTTGAGCTAGATAGGATAGAAACACAACTGCATTGTCTAATAGTAGTCAGCCTCTACCATGGCTGCCTTGCCCTTAATTCCCACAATACTTTGTGTTGCTCAGTACTGCTGATGTCACGATTCTATATTTTACTAAATATTTTAACTGTTGGAAAACAAATATTAAAACTGCACTGATCAAAATGTTTATGGGAACAAATAACAAAACGTGTATGGAACGTTTTGTAAACGATGATGTAGTTAAGGGTGCTCATGCAATATGGCAACTGAAGTGTGGCAGAGTGCAATAACTTGCCAAGCTATGTTAATAGTTAGCCACCAAAGATTGCCAATTTTTGCAAATGGTGACAGCTTCCAGATCTGTGTGCTATAAGTAAGTGGGTAGAAGTGCAAGTTGACAAATATTGATTGGTCAGATATATGCATGTTTTTGGAGAAGCTGAGTGCACCAGCGCAAAGCTACGACTTATACAGTATGGGCTCTAGTTTCCCGGCGCAGCGCAGGGTGGTGAACCTCGCACAGAGCTAGTTTTGAGCAGCACAACCCGAGGCGCGCTCAGTTTGGTAGTTTGGCAGACCGAGGTGCGCTGAGATGGGTGTGGCGGCGCAGCAGGGGGAGGTGTCGACAGATCCAGCTTGGCGCAGTGACAGTTTCGTGCCAAAAGGCTTCGCCGAAGGTGCGCTAAAAGCTCGCCAACTGAAACCAGGTCTACGTACTGTCAGCGCAGGGGGAGCGCAGCCGGTGTGAGCCGAAGTTTGGCTGACCGGCGGACAGTGCGCACACGTCACCAAAACCTCACAGGCAGGTTTCCAGAATATCAGGCACATTAACGATGCAATAAATACCCACAAAACCACTATTCAATGAAACTATCTGCAATCAGCACATAAATGTATCTCTATATCGACTGTCCCGTCACATCTGATGTCAGATCAAAGGGGATTGGCACCGTTTGGCACGTTTGGCACACATAATGGAAACCCAACCTGATTTGATTAACACAGCTGCAAACTAATGAGTTCACATCCCTCTCAGCCAACCACAAACAGCCACAGCATCAGATAAGGAGTATATATTCAGCATCTGTCATCTTAGAAAAGTCAAAAGAAAAGAAACCGAGTGAGACTGCGAGAGAGAAAGAGAGAGAGCACGCACGCAGGAGAGAAACGCAACATTGATTTACAATTGTGGTGACCTCCTCCCAGGCTACCTTTGCATCATCAGCCTGTGGAGGTCTGCTTGCAGTTCCATATATTTGGACACTGCGAGCTCGGACCTCCCAGACCAAAACATCAGTTTCCTCCTGGGAGAAGTTTGGCCGTCTGACGCTGCTGCTCTCTTCCGCCATGGCGAATTGAGTAAACTCTCATTACACTTTCGTGCGGTGCATTTAAGGGCGAGGAGAGGGGCTCATTTGATTGGTGTGATGTGTGTAAAACCCACTCCACGCCTTCTCTCCTCCCTCTTTCCGACTTGCGCCGGTAGGAGGGACGGAGGTGGGATAGAGGAGTATAGCTGTGCCAGGGCGCACGGTGTGCCAAACTTGCAAAATCCGCCTGGCCACACCCAGTTGGCGAAGCGCAGGTGTGCTGCCCCTCCGCCGCGCCTGGTCTGCGAAACTAGAGCCCTAAGTCACTTGACGTTTATGACTATGTTATCTGTGGTGTGGTCATGTACAGAACATCAAATACTTCGACATAGGCTCAGTGTTTTGTGTCTTGAGATCAGAAATCTTCAGTGTTGGGCAGTAACGCATTATTAGTAACATGTTACAGTAACGCCGTTAGTTTTGGCAGTAACTAAAAAGTTACTTTTCTCAGTAATGCATTACTTTTTGGTTTAAGTAATTGAGTTACTAACTGAGTTACTTTTTAATGAAGTAACTAGTAACAGTAACTAGTTACTGTTTTTCAGTAACTAGCACAACACTGGAAATCTTCCCCTGCCAAAGACAAGGACACAAGATTAATTTGGACTGTGTTACCTGGTGACTTTCAACTGAATGTGTCCGTGGGTGCTCATAGTAACTTACGTAAATGGTTGGCGTAGACATTAGACACAGATTAAAGTAAAATTAAAGGCTTTTAGGAGTTCACCTACATGTTCTCTTCATGTTTTTAACAGTTGTCAGTCAGTACAAACAACCACGCATTCAGCTGAGCCGCCAGTTAACGCTGTCACTCATTCAATTGAAACACCTGTTGCTCTGAAACAGTTGTGATCCAGTCAGAATTCTGTACAAGTTGATGCTGCTGTCAGAATATCAACTCTGAGAATGAAACATGCAACAACAGGACATTTTGATGCCATTAACAGTCTCAAGTCAAAGTTGAAGCTTGCTGACTCTTCTGGATGACCAGGGCACAACGCTACCTTCATTGCCAATATGCACAGACATACTTTTGATTACATCAGTTGTAAATAGGGTTTTTTGAGACAAACCCACAAAGAATAATCCCCACAGTATGTTTTTTCCCTTAGCTCTTTACAGCGTGTGGCATCTTTCATCAAACAGCAGGCAGACACAGTTAAAGACTAGCTGGTGCACACAGTCAAGCATTTAGTTGCTAAGGAGACAGATATTTTCCCCCCAGTTGATTGAGACCAAAATTAAGCTATAAGGAGAGTAATAATTTGACTTTGGGCCGGGTTATGCTGAAAAAGAATTAGTTTGTACAAGTGGACTTACAGGTGGATGCAGCTGGCCCAGTTAGAAGGCAGACCTCTATGTAATTTACCAGTTTATTTGTGAAATGACTCATACATAATTTGAGCTATTTATTGAAATAGCTGTCAACAACAACAATTTAAGCTGGCAACATCATTAAAGCATTTGGAATGAAGTTTTAAATTGCTGTTATTTTGAATTGTCCATCAAAATATAATTTATGTGAGCTTTGTATCTTCAAATAATATGTCAGCAAGGATTTACATATAGAAAATATACAATGTCTATTTATTTAAGAGTGTATAGTTTGGGCGGAGTGAGAAAATCGTGTTTTAAAAGCTGAAGGATTTAATCCAGAGAGGTTGAAAAGAGCCACTGACAACAGTCGTGACTAGAGTTAATATTTTTTTTTTTTTATAAGCAGCTGTCTATCTAATACACTGTACTACAGAAGATTCCCACTCTTCAAGTTATTCAGCTTGTCGGTCAAAGATAATAAAAAAGTGTTGAGAACTGAGTCATATTCTCCCCACAGAGACTTTGTAGAGGAGAAACTGGGGAGTAAGTACGTGATTGGCAGATCACTGGACTTCGCTGTCTCCTTTGAAGAGTCGGGCCCAGCTACACCCATGTTCTTCATCCTCTCTCCTGGAGTTGACCCTTTGAAGGATGTGGAGAAACATGGTAATACTCTTTCTTGTTTTATGTTTAATAAGTCGTAAAATTCACCCTCTGAATGTGTTCTGGACTTTAATCAAAGCATGCATATTGCCAATTTAACTGTCTTTTCTGTATGTTGTGGGAAAATGCACGATTTTCATTGAACAGCCTATTCAAGTCAAGTGCAGGCATACCTGCATGCATGATTTCCATTTTGATTTCTACTGCATAGGATTATCAGTCGGAACAGTAGTCATCCAAACACATCTGCTACGTGTCTGCTGTGATATCAGCCATCAGTGCCAATGCACAACAGGCTCTGGGTAGATTGAAGGGATTATACTAAAGGTCACAAATATATGAGACGACACCCCTTGTGTATTAGGGGCAGTAGAAAGTAAATGTCATTGGTTTTAGAGTTACTTTACAACCCCGTATGAATAATGCGGATAGCGGCAGGACACACCATTTTGATTTTTGACCACAGATATGCCAAAAGCTTATGTGCTGACTGGAACGGGGATCCATCACAGCCTGACACTTCTAAATCTGCTGCCAAATAATTCAGTCTGTGGGTATTTGAAGTCAGCTCTATGAAATATTCAGATTGCTCAGATTGTATCATTTACTTGAACAGAAATTTCCACAATGTGAGTCCCCATACATTTTCAAATATAAGTATTTTGCATTCAAGTAAGTCATCTTGACTAATTTACTGTTTTTGTCTGATTTGACTTTCAAAATTGCATATTTCCCTCTTACCTGTAGTGCTACTTATCAGTCTAGATTGTCTTGGTGTGAGTTGCAGAGTGTCGGAGATATCAGCCATAGAGATGTCTGCCTTCTCCAATATAATGGAACTAGATGGCACTCAAAGCCATCTCAAAACTCAAAACTTTGAAAAACTCTACAGCAATGTGTCTTTCTAGAAATCATGACCATGGTATCAAGATAATCCACAGACCTTGCTGTGAGCAGTTTCATGTAGGAACTATTGTCTTACTACCAAACTACACCTGTCAACCATATCACAGCACAGAGGGGAGCATGCATCTACTGCTAGCTGACCTAGTACCACTGAGCTAGCTAACATTACGGCTCAGCCAAGGAGGACATTATTAATATTTACATTTCACACTGTCACAAGCATGAGTCTCTTGTCTTTGAGTAGATGCACACTTCCTTCTGCACAGCAAAGCGGTTGGTGTTGTGTGGTAGAAAGAAAATAGTTCCTACATGAAACTGCTCACAACAAGTACTGTGGATTATTTTGAGTAACCGGATCACAATTCCTGGAAAGAGACATTGCTGTTGAGTTTTTCAGTTGTATCTTTTGGCAAGCTGAGTGCAATCTAGTTCCATTATATTAGAGAGAAGGCAGACATCTCTATGGCTATTATCTCCAACACTCAGCATCTCACACCAAAACAATGTAGACTGATAAAAAGCAGTACAGGTAAAAGGACCAGTACTTGCCAGTATTTTAGATGCCTCATTTTCACAAAGATTCAGATCCCAGTCCGCAGCAGGTGGTTAAATCAGCCATAGATAGACCTTCGGCCCAAGTGAATTCCACCATCCTCTCCTAATATGATAAGAGGGAGCACTCCTGCTGGAACTGCCTGTAAGAGGTGTGATTATGGATTATCAACACCCATAGTCAATCACATCAAAGCTAAAAGTAACCAATCACTGCTGCTGTAGAGAGAGCGGAGTGAAGATGAGGAGCAACAGCCACATTACACTGAACCACAAAGAGGTGCTTTTCCATTATAGCTGTGACTATTGGGTTTCTCATTGGTATTAGGCTTCAATTAGATTTTCATTAGATAGATAATGTGATTTTGTATGCTCTGCAGGGGACTAATATCCCTGAGACAAAACCTCACTATCTGCCTGGTTTCCGGTCAGAGTTTTAATAGAACAGACAGAAATAATTGTATTGTTTGAGTTAAATCTCAGTGGGCCAACCTAAAGTGGGCAAGGAATGCTGAGTCATTGTCTGTCCGCTGATTTTGACAATGAACACATACAATGACTTTTGATGAAATTTGCTTATTCAATTTCTTAGTGAGAATTAGATGGGAAGATCATTATCACTGTGAGTTCAATATATTTGTAGTATGCAGCCCATTCTTTTTTCCCACATCAATGTTCACATGACGTACTCAAGTAGGAAATTGCATCACCGCTCATATCACCATGATATTATGGTTGTGTTTCTGTGTTCAGTTCAGTAGTTGGGTATGTTGCTGGTTTGTTAGGTTCTCTACAAAGCTATGCCTATATATGCACTGTGTATGGGGTTAATAGCTCAGCAGTCAACTATCTGTCAGCTCATAATGATCCCTTCTGTGGCATTCATGGTCTTTCACTGGACTTTTAAACAGAAAATATGGTATATCATGCTAGCACCACTACCTTGACCATGAAGCTGATGATTCAGCATCTTAGTAATCTTGGGAGATTCCGTGTTAACATTGGTTTGTAAATGTACTGACCAGTTTCAGTCACCAAATGTTTAGCCAAGCGTAGCACAGAGACTGGAAGTCGGTGAAAACTGCTAGTGTAGTTATGAAAAGCAACTCCAAAGCTTTAATGTTAACGAGTGTAATACATTCACTTGAGGAAACACTTTTGCTCTTTTTTTTTTTTTTACCATGAAAACGTTTCTCATAATTCTGAAAAAATAATCTAATTAATTTATAAAAACAAGGCAAATTTCTTAAGTAAATGCACAGAGTGCTGCAGGAATTACGTTTTTTTTTTTTTTTGTTTTTGTTTTTGTTGTTTTTTCCTTTTTTTTTGTAGACGGACGCACAAGTCCATGTCACTCTGGTTCCCTCGTCAAAAAACCTATGTGATTTTTTTCCTTTGGATTATTGCTGAAAATAAACTCTGTGGCAAACAAACATTCATGATACTCATACAGATAATCTTCTCAAATATACACAATTTTTAGGATTTTTGAATCCTAAATGCAATCGGCAAAAGTAAAAAGCTAATATCAGATTGTAAATGAACTCCACTACAGTCACATGACTTATTGTCATCACACCACAACAAGGCTGTAAACCATTTTAAGAAACAAATAGAAGCTTCAGAATTCCCAAGTGGGGTATTTACTAATGTATTTTATATTATAGAACAAAATGTGAAAGTCTTGTAAGCTTGTGTTTACCACAGAACTTATTTTCAGCCATCTTACCAAAAACCCATTTGAAAAACCCATTGACCTGAAGACAAGGGAACTGGGAGTGGTAGAATGCGAAGTCATTTCCAGGTTTTAGGATTCATTCCTTGGGCACTCTATTAAGCTTCCACCCATATAGAAACAGAAAACAGTAATCTATAATGTAGCAAGCAGTTAACCTACACATTGAAGCCATGCTAACTCTAAATAGTCCTTTTGCCAAAATCAAGCTGTTGGCTTTGTGCATATCCAAACCATAGACTGTATAATAAAGATGGACGATATTACAGCTTCCCCAAAGTAAAGCCAAACCATCTCAGTCATCCCCTGGTGGCTGGCTGCAGTGTGGGTCATAAACCCTGTCCCCTCAAGTGACTTTTGGATGTGTATTTGTCCTGAGTTTGCAAGCTAACAAGATACAGAATGTACATAAACCAGCTTCTGAGTTATGTATTGTTTTTTTTAAACTTTCACTAACTGTTATCTCTCATTTAAATTAGCAATTTTCCAAAATATCAGACTGCAGTTTGGAGCCTTTGAATTCAACAGTTTGACAGAAGTATTTTTGTTTGCAATGTTTCCTTTGTGTTTTCTTTCAGGGAAGGGGCTGGGCTTCACATTTGACAACAAGAACTTCCACAATGTTTCTCTGGGCCAGGGCCAGGAGGTTATAGCTGAACAAGCCCTCGATTTAGCAGCGAAGAACGGCCACTGGGTGATTTTACAGGTACAGTATAATACACATACTGTACAGGCACAGAGAAAAATATCTCACATGAAATTTTATGCACAGTAAATACTCAAGGTTCCTACGCAAGTATGGAAAGTATGGAAATAAATTTGATCAATTTCCAGGTATTAAAAAGTATGGAAAATGAAAAATAAAGTATGGAAAAATATTTGTTTCCAGACTATTACCACTGTACTAAAATACTGTTTTCTAAAATAGAAAATTAGGTATTTCCAAAAATAATTTAATCAATCCGGATCATGTTTTATGCCGGGCCAAGCACACTTTGTGTGAGAGCAAACGTCTCAGAAAACATACCGCCCCTTTTACCTGGTTGACAAGTGGTATGTCCAGTCCGCTGCCCTATGACCCTCCTCCAGCCCCCCAGGTATCAAGTTTCACTCCAACACTGCACCTTCGACAAGAAGACGAGTTTCACATGGTTCACAATGGGTAGATGCAAGTTTTTGGATGGATGGCTTGACAATACCGTATATAAATACTGGTTGGCCAAGGATTCCCAATTCACACACAGAGCTAGATGCAAGCTTTGTGTGAAATCGTTTGACATCACCAACATGGGGGAGGAGGCGATTCTGAGCCACATGAAAGGAAAAACACAGATGTCTCGTTACTGCATCGCTTGCACCAAGAGTCCCAACCTTTTTGCCTCAGCCCAGACATTGAACTTACCTGAGTTTTTATTTGCATGCCATTATGGTACTTGGCTACAATCGCCTATTAAGAATAATTAAATATGATGTGAAATATGATACACTGATATATTTACTCAGATGTCGCATATTTTCTGGAAAAAAAAAAAAAAAAAACCGCAGAGAAGTCTGGAAACTAGGGTATGGAAAAGTATGGAATTTTGAAATTCCAAATGTGTAGGAACCCTGAATACTGCTGTGTACTTTAAGCTCACCACATATATATTCACCATTCACAGAGAGCCCCCACAGCACCTGAAATCTTTTTATGAGAACACTGGGTGGATCCAATTATAGTTTTTTGAAAGGGTATTTGAACACTAATGTGACTGTGTGATGTGTGTGATTGTTAAAACATTCTGGCTCTCTCTGAATTGCCCATTGCCCATCCACCACACACAAAGCTGCCAAATCATAAAAATTATGATTGCAATAAAAGTTGACACACAGACACTCATAAAAATACTGTTTATCTAAAACACATTTTGCAAAAATGAATACAGGGTTCATTTTGTGTCAAGGATGTTCCATTCAGTAGTAGTTTTAGGTGGCATTTCCCTTATCTGTGCATGTTTTGAAGGAGGTGTATCATCACATTGTTTTTTATTACATACTCAATGGGATGTTTGCTTTCCTCCCAGGTTTGTCTGCACGGAAAAGTGAATTTAATTTTCTGCGGAAATTTCCTCACTGAAAGGGCTGCGGCATTATACAGTACAATATCTACGCGGTGTCTGTTCTCCTCTTATCTGGAGGGCAAGGCTGGCGTTTGCATTTTAAGTGGAAACCTTGGTGGAATTCTAATGGGAAGTATCGACAGATATGAGCCGCAGACCGGGCACTGCGGGACACCCTTTTCTTTTAATTCACACAGCTGGTAGAAATTCCAAAAAAAAAAAAAAAAGAAAAAAAAAAAAAGAAAAGAGAGAGAGATGGGGACGCCATCACTCTCTGCTCCAGACCCAGGATAGCAGAGACAAGCAGTTGTTTAATTACCTTTGCATAAGAATCTCGATCGATAGGCTTAAAAAGGCCTCGTCCCTCTGGCAACAAACCTCCCACTCGCTTTATCATCAGCTGTCTGTCTGTCTGCTCGCTGAGAGCCACCCCCATGGCACTGACCGGGAAGGGAGAGGAAAATGGAGGGGAGGGGAAGTATCATATTTTTGTTTCTCTCCTGTTTTTCAAGACAGTATCTTCTCCTGATATAATGCTCCATCTTTTCTCTCTATCGCTCTTCCCACCCTCTCATTCCGCTACATAACTTTCATACTTAAGTCTTATCATTTTCTCAAAACGCATCAAATTCTTATCAATCCCCAAGTCCTCCCACCTTTCTCACCAGCCGGCCCTCTCTCCCTCCCCTCCTCACCTCCTCATCTCAGCTATCCACCTACCTATCCACCCCCCCCTCCACCCCCCGTCTCACAGCCCACCTTTACTCTCCGGCTGCCAGGCCCGGCTCCATCAGCGGAGGGCTGGGTCAATGGCAGGTTCCCCCTCGCTGACGGGTAATTATACTGCAGAACAGCAGCTCCTGCTCAGATGGGCCTCGGAGACAGAGATGCAGAAACTTTGAAAGCAGCCCATCGGGAGGGAAGAGGTGCAGAGATGGAGAGGCAATCAATCGGGCAGATTGGAGTTGAATATCCCACATGGGCCAGGCAGTGGGAATCAAGTGGCCTAAACTTTCAAGCATCTTTGCACATTTACTACTAAAACCACCCCATTTGCAGCCGCTGGCAGAAAGAAGTGCAGATAGCAGAGATAGGAGAGACAATTTGACAGAAATGCTCCCCCTCAATGTCCTCTCTTCATATTACTTTAGAATGCTGCGCTCAGACCACAAGATATCAGCAACCAGGAACGCTGTGACTATGTCGTACGTGCTGTATCCATTTGGTTATCATGGTACCTCATTTTTTAGGTCTTTCTGAACACAAGACAACCAGTATCTTGAACCATGGATGTACAAAGACAACTGGATACAGCTTTGGGGGAGGGGCCCCGTTTATCCCTATGAAAGCCAAAAAAGTTTGACTAGCGGGAAAAAGGGCTCATTTTTGCTCAATATGGAGATGGAGACAGACAGAGACTTATGTCCGTACTCCGTGATCATTTCATCAGTATTTGTGCATGTTTTCTGATAGTTTGCTGACACGGATGAAACAAAGCATTACCACCAGTGATCGTGGAGGCAGTGTAGTGTAGTTCAAGCAAGATACGACTGTAGGAGATGACGCAGAAATTTAAATACGAATGGGTAATATGGTGAAAATAATTCTCTGTCCACATGTGGGGATGTAACGTTGTATGGCTGCACAGACTACCACTGTCGACAGCACTGTCTCTATTTAAAGGTTAAATGTTACGACCTCCTCCAGTGTTGCCTCGTTTCTTGTTGTGTGAAGCTTTTGACTCTAGTGCCATCTATTGGCTGTATCTATGCCATCATAAAGGACGCATGGGGGGAGTAGTATGAGGGCAGTGATGTTTACAACTTTTGAAATGGAGGCATCTATTTTTGTACCTAAAGGGAGTATAAATGAGATGAATGATCAAAATTTTAGTTTAGTTTTCGTACTGGGATTTGATGTACCTCAAAGAAATCATCCACTGATTTACAGACATCTCTTTTACATTGTAAGTCTATCGGAAAGAATCTTTCTGGGCACCATGGCATCATGTGGCAGACCCAGTAGTTGTAATTATACAGTTTGGCCACAATGTCAAATTGTATTCCATGCCCAGCTCTGTTCCCGGGGGCTTGTCATACACGCTGCTTTGGGCGCCATTGTTTACGTTCTTGTTTCCGGGATTTGGTCTGTAGCACCTCCTTCCTGATGACATCACGCAGGTCATAAAAGACAGCAAGCTACAACTGGTCAGGGACCAACGTGTAGACAGTCACAGCTCTTGGCTAAGACACCGCAAGAATTCATGACTATAGTCTGACATAGACAATTTTAACAAACAAAAATATGGTGTAGTCTGAACCCGGCACAGGGAAGAAAAAGACAGCTTTAATATTTTTTTAAAAAAGTCATGCATTTTATTAAATCTTACACTGAGAGTTGGACAAGATTCGTTTTAACTATTAATGCTGAGGTGACCCTTTTTAACCTACAAGGATGGCAAGGAATAAATTGTACAACTTCAGCTACCCTGAGAATATCAGTATTGTGGCTCTGTTTAATTAATTAATGTGATGTGAATTATCTTGCAGTGTAATAATAAATCATATCACCAACATTTTCTCTTCTTTATAATTTTGTTGCAAAAACAGGAGGAGCCACTGGTTTCAGGAATATTTTCCCCACTGTAAATCCCAGTTTTAAAGTTTTCTTTTACTGATATCTTCAATGTTACTCTACACAAAAACAGCTGTATTAAATCAGGGTCCAGTTACATCACAGGGGTATTCCTTTAGATTTGGTGGAAAGGGCTCTGCTCTTTGAGGGAGATTTCAAAGAGTCAGAGCAACAACAAGGATTCTGCTGGGAAATCTAAAAACAGCTTCATACATTTGGAACTATACTAAAAAACATATCTCATAAGAAGGAAGTCAGGTTGGTGGAGGGAGTGTAATGGCTAAGTAAACAACCAGGTTTGAAACCACGACTTGGAGACAAGCAGGTTATATAAAACTTCACGTTTGCTCATGGTCAAACACAGGAAAAAGTCAAAACCAAGCAGGTGGATGAATACAGGCAAACTCTTCTGTCCAAGGGTCAGGCAGGGGGTCAGGAAGGTAGAAAAAAAAAGGACTGAAAATCTAAGACGTAAGCACAATTGACAATCTGGCAGGGAATGAATGGAAATGGGCCAGTTTCTTTGCTGCAGGGCTGATGAGGGAAAGTGTGAACAGGTGAGGAGGTGGGCGGGGAAGGTCAGGTGATGGGAAGGGCGGGAAAGGGGTTACAGGAGGGCAGAAGGGGGTGGATGGATCTGAAATTACAGGACAGTTAATATGTGCCAGCAGAAAAAAAGCATGGATGACTAGGAGTTGGTTGGAGTTGTGACAGGGAGCTGCAGCAGCAAACAGCATTGGCTTGAGTGTCAGCTGATAACCACACAGCTGGTAAATGAATCAGTAATTGTGCAGCATCAGTGCACAAGCGAATTCCAGTCAGCTAATGCAAGTGTGACACAACAATAGTGGTTTACTGTGTCCTTAAGTGCCGATGGCGTCCTGAAGAAGATCTCTGTTTGTCGTGGGCACATTTTCTAGTGTCCCCCGGACAGCAAGCCCTGCTTTTTAGCCTGCGCATATTTGATGTGACACAACAGAAAAACGTAGGCCACTGCCATCGGTGAATGTCGTCTTATTTGCTGATAGGCTGATGGCTGTCAACAAGGCACATGTCAGTGGATACCGATGTGCTGCAGATAAATTGGCGCAAGTGTAATCTTAAGCCGTTGTTAGTGGCACATGTGATTTGATGTCTCTGATCACAATACACCTTAGTAGCTTCTATTTCTTTTCTGCTCCAATCAGCAACACCTGCACACATGTGCTCTGAGCTCATCCACCATTACTTTCTGTCACCCTTTCTCTCTCAACTACACACTTGCCACACCCACACTAGGGCTAGTCTTTAATGAGCTACACCTCTGTTAAATACCAGTTTCACAATTTATTGTGTGTATTTCATAGGATTATTTGAATTGGCAGGCTAATAATAAGCAAAAGGCTTAGGCAAGGTTAATTTACGTCACGTGCATCATTTTTTTAGTGCCCCCTGAAAACAGTTGACATTGTGTTTTGTGCCATGCTGTCCATATCTTTCTTCGTATGTGGCTGTGTCTTCCCTATTCTGTCTAAATACTGCGCATGTGTTGTCAAATTGGTGAAGGTGTTTTCTTATTTCTCTCAGGGCCACTCTAATTTGAGCCTTGATATACTGACAGCTGGACCGCAGCAAACTTTGTATTTTTATTTGTTTATGGCTCCTATAAAATAGGATTTTAATGTATAACAGCGAGTTAGCCGACCATTGAAAATAAAAACCTTCACAGCTCACAATACTCAAAGTGAATTCAGCATATTTGTGAATTTGTCCCTGACATTTTTAAATTTAGACTCAGCAGTCTGTCTTGCTATCGGTGCCTGCAGTGTGTCGGCAGTCCTGTTTGTCCCTCAGTCCTGTTTGCTGTGTTCCTACGTCAGTTTGGAGTCTGACTGCTTCTCCTCTGCAGGGCCACCGCCTCCTCAGCGCGGGAGCCCAGCTGTGCAGCTGTCCTCAGCGCCGCTCCTTGACGAATGTGTTTTTGTGTGTGTGAAAAAGAAATATTGTGTGCGTGCACCTGCACATGTTTATATTTGCTTGTTTATGAGCCAGCGTGTGTGTGTGCGTGACAGGCAGTTCGATGTGCCATTGTGTTTTCCCTCAGGTTGTGTTTGATAGCAATGCATCAAAGACCTTGCCAGTGGTGTCTTCTAATGGGTTTTAGATTCAACTTTTATATTATTATGTAAATAGGTGACTCTTTGATGTAGTATCAGCGCAGTCATCACAGGGGCTGGAAGGCCCTTATCAAGAAGACGTTGAGGGAACAAAAAAATGTTGCACCTGAAAGTTAATTAAAAAGCCATAAAATAGTGGCTGCTCCTCTGTCTTGTTTGTTTGTCTGTCGGCCTACTGGTCTGTCTCTCTCTCTCTCTCTCTCCATTGCTCCCCCTCCTCTTCCCCTGCAGCCAGAGGATGAATGGTTTCATTACAGTGACAACTTCTGAGGCAGTCTCTGACTTCCTCTGTTGGCTCTCTTTATTGCCAAATTATTTACATGCCAAGAGGAAGGGTTGTACTGGCTTGATGAAAAAGCGCTTGAATTTAGACTTTTAATTTGTATACCATTCATTATTCTCCAAGGCATCAAGAGGCAAACTAACTTATCCCCGTCTCAGCTCCAAGCTCCTCCCAGACTTCTCTCTCACAGAATGTGAAACTTTTTTCTCAAAAAACTGACGTTCCTCTCCCTGTCATGTCCCGTTGTTCGGAAAGAGGGCTAACTTCAGCCATCATAAGGAAGATTAAATATGGAGAGCAAAGGGAAATGAGAAAGTAAAGAGGCTTATGAATTAATGACTGGAGTTATTAGTGCTGTAATTAGATTTAGGGAATGGGCAGTGCTGCATGGTGAGATGTGGGGGGCTTGGCTGACTCCTTATCATTCACAGGATATCCTGTAAGTGTCAGGACAGTTGAGATGGAAAATTGAGCTCATCCATGCTTGTGTGATAGTACAAGTCAGCTCCACTGCCCGCACCACACTGAGAGATGAATATGCAGAAAAGTCAGGCTGAAGTTACAACGGAGAACGGTCGCTTAATGTCAGCATCCTAGAAATGGGTTTCAAGTGCTATGTACCAGTTAATTTGGTGCCACATCAAAGTCACAGTGAAGAGGGGAGAATATGCAACATTTTAATTGCTCTTTTTTGCTAGTTGTCATTACAAACATAAATTATACGGGCAATTCCAGCATCAAGTACCTTATTAAGCTATTATGTGTTATCCATTAAAGCCCAGACTTTCACAGATATCCAACAGAAAACATTATCTGGGTGTAGATTAGGCTCTCTACCCTCACAGAGGGGAATTAATTTTGCCTAACAACTAGCCTGTCGTTTATACCAATGATGTGCAGTTTTCCCTATTAACCCTATACTTGCTGATCCTGGTCCCTGCAGAATATCCACTTGGTCGCGCGCTGGCTGGGTACTTTAGAGAAACTTCTGGAGCAGCACGCAGAGGGAAGCCATGAGAACTTTAGGGTGTTTGTCAGTGCAGAGCCCTCCTCCACCCCTGAGGGCCACATCATCCCACAGGGCATCCTGGAGAACTCCATCAAGATCACCAATGAACCACCTACTGGCATGCACGCCAACCTGCACAAGGCCCTGGACAACTTCAACCAGGTAATACACCCCAAAGTTTGTTGTCATTTCCGGAAGTTATCAGATAATGTTAAATCCTCAGTGGTGCAATTTATCCACATTGCCATGTTCCATTGCTGTCAAAAATAATGGTAATACTAAAATGAATAAGGCCTAATGAATTTCCTCCTAAACAGTGCCTGTGTTCACTTCACACAACAAAAATCTAACCACACAAAGACTGTCTAACATTAAATACACAATACCTAAACTAATAAGACCGTAAATTTTATACTAACTAGCTTTTGTGGCTAGCCCTGTTCTGTGACTACTTTAAAACGCTAGCAAGTGCATATCAGCTACATTACCATCTTGATTGTATCTCAGCTGCTGGTCGATCTCGAGCCATACATCATCCTTTATTTGGTTGTTGAGGTAGTTGTCACAGTGTGTGTTGTACAGTGGGAAGCTTACAATGACCTTGCAGTATGACATCAGTTGGAACAAAGGATTTCATTGGTCAAACAATGAGATCAAGGTACGTCTGAATATTTCTCTCCCCAGCTAGAATGTTCTGCAGGGGTGTGCCAGCATTCATAGAAGATAACGAAATCCGTTTTTATACATTTCTGTGTTATTGACAAAAATCCATGCTCAGGGTGAAATGGCTTTTAATCATAAACCAGTTGGGGAAAAGGTAATATGATTTGATACAACACTTTGAAAGGAAATCTGAGATTGTTTCATTCATTTGACTCACACCTGCTAGCGTGTAACTAAAAACAGAAGCTATGGATACTTAATTTTGATGCATGGTACCTTTCTCTGAAGGACTCTTTTTTTTTTTGCCATGAGTGGCAGTTGAGTTAACACATGCCAATTTTCACTCCAGATTTCTCATCAAGTTGCCAATTTGCAGAAATGTAGGAGCTAGCAGATGTGGGGAGTCACCTTTCACTCACCCTGGAATTGCGTCTGACCCATGGAGGACAGATGTGAACGTAGCACATGCCAACGGCAAATGTTTGTGTGGATACAGTCCGCAGAGGGTCGTTGGTACGTCATGTGAGGACTGAGATCACAACAAAGTCTATCTGCTACTTTTCGTGTTTGTTATTGGAGAGTGGCCAGACAATATCATGCTCATGGGCCTTTCTACAGCCTCCATAGTTAGAATGGATCAGTGCGCTGCAGTGGCCTCTCCCTTTCCTCTACCTTATCAGTTCTCCTCTCTATCTAAGCCGTAACATTACCTCAGTGCTTCGCTGCCAATGCATCTTCCTCCGCACCATTACCTGAGTGCTCGGCTTCCTCCGAGTCCATTTCCACGATCCTTACTTTGCCGATGTCTATCTGCCTGATAAGTGCAACGTGCTTGTGAGCCCTGCTTTATGCAGACCCACAGCGAGGTCCACTGAGGTAACGATGGGGGAATATTCCAGTCATGTGTACTCAGTGAAAGCTAATCAATGTTAGGCTAACTCTCTGTAATAGCCCACCCGCGTGGCTAAAGCCAGCGCTAAGCCAGAGAAATGACAGTTTCTTTCCTCTTGACCTTTTCACTGGGAGAGGCGTACAGCTCTGCTGCCTATTTCCACCCCAGAAGCCTGTAAGTCTGGGTGGGCTGAAGTTAACATCTGGCACAATGGCTGAGGTTTTTACTGAGATGACACATGTATCATACTGTTGCAAAATAAGCTGTTATATATTTGCAATTTCTTGTTAGCTGAAATTGATTAATTTAGTTTATTTGTCAAGTTTTCTGGTTATTCAGACTCAAGCATACACTGGCCTAACCTGTCAGTTTAGAGATATTGAAGTGTGTTTTTCAGTGCATGTGTGTGTTTATGTGTGCTCTTCTCTGCGGTATGGTCTGTGTCGTTTCTCTCCAGTCCACAGGTCATGAATAGGGAGGCTATGGATCTCTTTCAGCTGTGTTGAGCAGAGGAGTAACGTGCAGAATATTAACTAAATCTCTGAAAGGGTGTGTGTGTGTATGTGTGTGAGCGGTAGTCAGCCTTCACTGTACTTGTGTGTATGTGCGTGTGCGTTGTAGGAGTCAGCTCCCCAGGGCACTGCAGCAGGGGAAGTGAAAGGGCCTTCACCGTGGCACTCACCATGACACATGCTGGAATAAAGAGAATTTAGCCTCCCTATTTCCATAGGGGTTATTGGCATGCTTATTTAACTGTCTCTCCCCCCAGAGATTACAATGCCATTTACATCCAGTTTTTTATTTGCTTGTCTGGAATAATGAGCCCAGGAGACGGTTGGAGGCTGAAAGCGCCTGACAAGTTGTGACAATTAAAAGGGAATCTCATTGTCGGGTTTATTGCCATCTAGTCATCTCATTGTCTGTCTGTTAGTGCACCGCACCGCTGGGGACTTGACAAAATAAAACAGATCACAGGACTGCCTGCCACAACTTTTTACCTGTAACACACCGATGTGTCTCAGTTAATGCAGCTGTACAGTTCAGGAGGGGCGAGTGTGTGTCTTTTATATGTATCACTCTTTTTTGTTTTCCAGGACACGCTGGAAATGTGTGCGCGGGAAAATGAGTTTAAGAGCATTTTGTTTGCCCTGTGCTACTTCCATGCGGTGGTGGCAGAGAGGAGGAAGTTTGGTCCTCAGGGCTGGAACAGATCATACCCCTTTAACACTGGAGACCTCACCATTTCTATCAACGTCCTCTACAACTACCTGGAGGCCAATCCTAAGGTAGATGTGTTTCTGTTTTTCTTTTATTCCTGCGCGAAGGATTACAAAGCCCCCTGTTTGTAATCTTAATTGGAAATCTAAACACATGTGACCTTAGCTTAACACCACAAGCCACCTTCTAGCAATGCAGCATTCCCTCTGTCTCAAATTCCCAGGTGCCGTATGATGACCTGCGCTACCTGTTCGGTGAGATCATGTACGGGGGTCACATCACGGACGATTGGGACCGCCGTCTGTGCCGTACCTACCTGGAAGAATTTATCAAGCCTGAGATGATGGAGGGAGAGCTGTTCCTAGCACCCGGCTTCGCTGTGCCTGGAAACATGGACTACAACAGCTACCACCAGGTGAGGTGGACTCAGATCAGGCAATACAAGCCTTATGATTACATGAAAAGTACATTTAAAGGGGACTGTGAGCAAAACCCTCAGACGTCAGGCCAATCTGAATAGTCTGTTTTTAATGTTTTTCTCTACTTCCGAGACCAGCTGATGTCAGCTTGTGGGTGATTTCTTTATATGGTCATCTGCTCCTAACTCTGCTCCTAGAGGCCTACACCTACATGTAGCTAAATGCTATTATCAGGGAAACATGTCATCTTGGTTGCTGATGTTGTTAAGTTCTCTCCAGTTTTAGATTGTATTCCTGCTTGAACATGTCTAGATTGTTTGCAAACTTTTACTGTTGATTTTTCATTTCATTTTTCAGTCATTCCCCTGTGAGTGCACGGCTACATGTAGCCACATACTGTCATCAGGGAAACCTTAATTTCAGTCAGTCAGGTTGTGTTTAGAAGCTTTTATTGGTGATTTTGTGCCGCTGTTCTCCGTTACAGTCATTTCCCTGGCTGCAGATGGCGAGATACAGAAGACCTTAAAACACTGACCAGTCAGAGCAGAGTGGACTTTTTCGGTAGAGGGGCTTAAAGAGACAGATCCTAAATGTAGCCGCAGGGTGAACACAGGTGTTCCAGCAAAGACAGTATGAGGACAATAAAGCATGTAAAAAAAATTATGCAGAAACCCAAAATACAAGTATGAACCTTAAACGAGCATAACATCTTTAAAATCACTCCAGCACAAAACGATACAGCAGAATAGAAAAAGCAGAAATTGTGAGTTCAGGCAATGAATACAATAAAACCCATAGTTATAATCAAAGAAAATATGAAGATTATAACAGTGGCACCAGGTGTTTCCACGGGGCCACTGGGGGGTCCCCAAGGGGCTCCTATTTGGCCTCCATCAAATTAATGGTGGTTTAATATTGCTTAAATTGAATCACTATAATTAAAAGTTTTTTCCCCATCCCTATCCCCCATGTACAGTGTACAGTTCTACAATTCAATGCTAAATCAATAACAATAAAACTCTTCCCATATGGGTCCCTGGGACATAACAGATTGTAGTTTGAGTTATATAAATATTTCTCTGAGGTGGAGCTGCTCTGTGGGTGGAAAGAGTTTGCCAGTAAGTCTAACTGGCACACTCTTACAGTCATCTAACAGGGAAAGTTGGGAGACATGAAAGTCACAGTAAGTGGAACCAGATGACTCATTGAACGCACAAAATATTTATGTAGATGCACCACAAAATGGTGTAAAGATTAGATTTTGTTCTAGCAGTTACAGTGTGTACCTCTGTGTTAGGTGGGTGGGCCTTTCCCAACATTCCTTAGGACAAACAACACCAATCTGTTCCAGAACTGTAATTTATGTAGACAAACATCATCATCGTTTTGGTTGCGTGTCACTGCTCCCATTAAGCCCCATTTAGTTCCACACCTGGAATCAACTCTGCTAAAGCCAACTTACACCTGTACAGCACCAAACTGCAGACATTTAGCAGCTAGTTGGTGAGCAGGGGTTGGTTGAGAGCAAAATTGAGCTAAAACAAGAAACGTTATGCAAATAATTTAAAGTCCAATTTATAAAACACATTCAAGAGTTGCTCCATGTCTGCTTGATGTGTAAATAGATAACTGACATGTTGTAACATGAAAATATGAAAATGTCAATTTATATTGCTTTAAAGGGCCAGTGTGTAAAATGGGTTGAAAACAGTGACATCAGTGGTCAAATTCTAGATTGCAGGGCTCACTCGCTCGCCCCTCCCGTCGGGTAAATGACGGTGGCCTCGTAGGGACAAAAAGCCTTGCGCACGACTTTTTCAGGAGTAGGTCTATCTAGCGACGAGGTGAATGTTTATTTAGAAATCTAAACCATGTTACGATATTGTAATGAATCCCTCACGAGCAGGAGACCAGAGTAGCGTTTCGGGAAAAAGGTCCGTTTATTTGAGCACTCCAGAAACTCCGGTAACACTCCACTCCGTCCCAAACTCTGACTCTTCTAGCGTAACAGACACACTTCATAACTTTACATACATACTCGTTTACCATATTGAGTGGGGATCCCCCTCCCCTCTCTGCTCCGCCAGTCTCCAGCCAGCACACTGACTGACAGCATAGCCGGTAAACAGAGCTCAGCTGTTTATTTAGCCTAGCAATATCTCCGGACTATAGTAGCTGCAATGGACGACTTTGAACGCGATTTTGAAGAGTTTCTTGTAGCGGACACAGACCCAGAGCCATACCTGTTTGAGCCGGAGCATACAGATGAGGAACTCCATGTGTTTGATGCTGAGCGGGTGAGAGGAGAGGCTGAATGCACAGAATGGGATTCGGTGCTACTGCTACCATCGTTGGGGAGATGTATCATCAGGAGGAAAAGCGCCGCAGAGAGTGCATCACAAGGAGTGAAGTTGCGTCTTCTTTTCCTCGCAGATGACGGTTCGGGTTCATTCTCTCCTGTTGCGTGGTAAGTGTGGTCCATTCGCAAACTTTATAACTAAAAAAACTTTTCACTTCTCTCTATCAACGAACTACTAACACTCTGCTGTTTCTTCCTCCTTCTTCCTTCCTTCCACTGTCTTCGTTGGTTCATTTATACACGCGAAACGCGTTCTCTGGCTGGCTGGATTGTCCACTCGGTCTGCCGTACATACATGGTGGCGCAAGATGGCTACCTCTCTAAAGCAAGGCCCTTGCTATATATATATATAAAAGCATAATTATAAGGCTACGAAAACCAAACAAATTTTATTTTATAGCGATCATACACTTGTATAAACATATCAATGGGTAGAATATTCAGATTCAGATTCAGATTGACAATAAACCATGCCAAATATTACACACTGGCCCTTTAAAGTCCCTGATTCATCTGAGCTTCACATCCTTCGATGATTAAAGACAGGAAGAACCTTCAAACTCCAAACTAAATAGAATCACAACAATGGTACCAATTCCTAGCTGTACATTTAAACTTGACAAGCAGATTTCCAGTGCAGACTTTTTTTATATACTTTATTAATCCCTGAGGGTAAATTCAATTTTTTCACTCTCTTGTCAATTACACACAATTACGAACACACACATGCACAAACTGGACCTATATATGCACTAAGTGGAGAGATGTCAGAGTGAGGGGGCTGCCCATGACAGGCGCTCCGATCGGTTGGGGGGTTCAGTGCCTTGCTCAAGGGCACCTCGGCAGTGCCCAGGAAGTGAACTGGCACCTCTCCAGCTACCAGTCCACACTCCATATTTTGGTCCGGATGGGGACTTGAACAGGCGACTCTCCGGTTCCCAACCCAAGTCCCTATGGACTACTGCCGTTGTTGTACTTGTAACTTCGAATTGAAGAAAGGAATTATATTAGTAACGTTGTTTTAGTAGCAAACACTACTCTCCATTGAGCAAGAAGCAATGGCAACCATAGTTACTGTAAATATTATTTACTTAAGATCCAGGTTTTTTTTCCAGAGTTTTTTCTGGCGCTTTGAACAGTATCTTAGCATCTTCAGTAGAGTCGATGACAAGTCTGCCATCTACATAAAAAAGGAGCAGCCTCCATTCGCTGATTTAGAACGTATACTGTATAATATATATATATCATGTATTAAAAATAACTTGAAAAATTTAGTAAGAGGAACTTTATTGTTCAGACTATTTATTGTTCAGTCAAATTACTGATGTATTTCTGATGTCAAGAATTACCTAAAGACCTTACACATCCTGCGTTTTTTGCACCCTCAAATTCATTGTTTTCAATGTAGACACGCAGCAGGCGTGCTCAAACACCAGAGCAACAAAACTGAGTTCAACTTTTGGAACGCAGCAGCGCACACCACATGTCATGTGACGAGGAAAAACCAGTCACAGGCGACAAATATCTCTCCCTTCTTTCGTAAATATTAGTCTGTGGTACATATGGAAAAGTTGATCATTTTGGTGCAGGGCTGCCAGAACCTTTTATCTGTCCCAAAGACGATATCCCCACACACTTATAAACAGGTAGACTCTTTATTGGCATTATACATTCCTGTACAACGAAATTTTGTTTGACAACTCTCCTTATCACAGCAGCAATGAGTAAAAGCAGCATAAGATATCTGCATGAGGTAGAAAGACTTTTATACTGTGCTTGTTAAGATTGCTTAGCAACCTCAGATGCAACCTGCCACCACGCTCTTGAAAGCTAGCTCAAAAAAGGCACAAAAGTAGCTCCAAGCGCCAGGCAGTTAAAGATGTGGCATGCATACAGCCCCTTAAAAGCTTAATGCCAATAGTGCTTCCCTCTTTTCATACATTATGCCATGAATAAAGCTAACCAACAGTATCCACTGCATGCCCCCCACACATAGTCACTCCACCAACATACAAGGTCCTCAGTATTAGATGATTTTGCTAAAACATGAGTTACATTCTGTGATAATATTTTGTAATGCACAATGCCTAGGTTTTGTAAAATTATTTCTATCTGCAGTCTTTGCACATCTACAGTATGGTGAGGGTCAGGCAATTAAAATGCAGGGTTAGGGTCAAAGACAGATTGTGGATAATGATGAACTTTAGTCTTGTGCATGAAGGTTGGACTTGTTTTCGGCTACATCCAACACCCAGACCTCTACACTTTACTTAAGCAATTCAGTATAGATGTAGTTCCTAGGATACTGGGCTACGTCACAATGTCACCAAACATCCAACACCACCTATTTAATAAAGATGCTTAAATGCTCTCTGCTGTGACTGGACTGAGTCTAAATCCAGGCTTTAGCCACCATGCTGCCCTGGTAGGTAATTATTTAAAATGCATAGAATTTATATGGCTGTTGAGAAGTGAGCTTGTGACTGGGAGGTCAGTGGTTCAGTCCGTGGTGTGGCAGGATTAATCTGGGTAGGGTAAGTGAAAAAGCAGCACTTACCCCTTCCTCATTACCACCACTGAGGTGCCCTTGAGCAACCTTTGAGAGGAGCTGCTAAGTGGCCAGCAGATCAGACAGTGGTTGTATAGGGCAGCTTTCAGATGTGTATGTGTGTAACTGTGCGAATGTGAGGACTTTCCTGCAAAAGAAGGGCTTCTTCTCATTGAAACCTCCCTGAATGAATAAAGGTTAAAAACAAAAATAGCCCATTTATTAGCTTCTTCCCCAGTGTGATCACCAATACAGTGGTAATGTTGACATCACTGAGCCTGAACTTGCTTCACAGAACTTCAGACATGAGTCATGACAGCTCAAGGCATCATCAGGGTACTGCTTCACCTCACCTCATCTGTTTTATATTATCATTTAACACAAAGCGTGATTGACAGGGTAAAATCATAAATGAGGTAGGTTGTTGTGCAATTGCTGCAGCGCACCATCAAGGCTCAGATGGTATGTAGCATTCTCAGAGAGAAGTAAATAAGCAAGGCCAAGCATATTGTGGTTATTTCAGTTTGGAATTTTGAGTGTTTTTTTTAAGCTTCATTCCCTGACAGCTGGAACCAACTTCACTGGTGTCCCTTAAGGAAAACTGACAACTGCCAACATTTATATGAATAACAGTGGTTCAGAAAATGTGTTCTTGCCAACAGTCCAGATTTCCCCCATGAGTTCCCTGAGGCGGCAGAGGGAGTGGGGTGTACGACTTGTATCTAATTTTCCCCCAGTCTGGGTGCTGCTCAACGGGCACATCCTGGCTGTCATAGTGGCTCCAGTGGGAAGGACTGGAGCATTTTACATTTGGCTGTCACCACACAGCAAAGCTGAGGGCAGAGTAGTTGGGATTTGGCTGAAGAACAGGAGCTGTAAAGGCCTGGGGTCCCCAGGGGTCTGTTAGGCCATTGCCTCCCTCACAAACATCCAGAACAAGCTTACAGTATATTTAGGAGAGAAGCGGGATAGGATAGGCACAAAGAAGGAAGGTGACTCAGCAGTTTTACTCCTCTTTCAACAATATACAGGTGTATGCAATCAGCAAAAGTTAGCCAGCAAAAAGAGGAGATCAAACAAGCTGACTACAAAGTGTTTCTGTATTAAAGGCCAATATATTTTCCATCAAAACTTTCATCAGGACATTATGATTAGAAGAGCTTTTTTTTTATATAATGTAAGTGCCCCACAAAAAAGCAGCCTTTTTCAGTTGAGCTTCCACTTTCATCTGCACTAACTTAAAAGCATATTGATATTCATTATGGACCAGCAGATGGAAAATGCCATATTTCCTTCCCCTTGTTATGGTCATTAACAGTCTGTCAATTGATCCTGAGTGTTTGAATCTCACCCAGAAATACCTCATCATTTATATGGTTCCATTCTTGTCCTTTGTCAGCAGTACTTTAGAAGAAACATATGAGAGAAAAAAAGACTTTGCTGCTTTTCAGTCCAGAAGTAATAGGAGTTGCCAATCCTTATGCTATTAATGTAAATTAATTGAAGGCTCAATTAGTATTAGTTTAAATGTTGTCCTGTTAACGTCAAAAACATACTTATATCGTCTTTATTTTCAGGAAAAAGACATTTCAGACAGGCTCAGGCTTCACAGAACCTTAAACTTTCTTAAAATCTGAGTTAACCCACAAAAATCCATGAATCTGGGTCAAGATTTCTGATGATACAAGAGTTCTACACAATTCTGACATGGATTTCTTCTGCTCTAGTACATTGACCAAACCCTACCTGCTGAGTCGCCCTACCTGTACGGCCTTCATCCCAATGCTGAGATCGGCTTCCTCACACAAACCTCAGAGAAGCTTTTTCGCACAGTGCTGGAGATGCAACCCAGGGACGGAGGTGGCGGTGAGGGTGGCGGGACAACGCGTGAGGAAAAGGTCTGTATTGTCATGTACTACATGTCCAAAAGTATGCAGAAAACCACCCACAGGTGATTGTTGAACATCCCACTTTGAATCTGTTGGATTCAATCTGCTGCTATGACACCCTTCACTCACATTCAATGTTCCTGTTCATCCCAAAGGTGTTGAATGTGGTTGAGGTCAGGCCACTGTGCAGGCAAATCAAGTTCCTCCACACCAAGCTGGAAAAAAATATATTTGACCCCTTAACACCTTGCATTAAAATACATTTGGGTGTTGAGATTGCGATCAGATGTGGCTTGACCACATCGAAGTACAGGAGTAAAAACACCCAAATGCAGTGAGGACAGATTGTGATTCAAGACTAACTCCGGAGGTGGTCAGGGATGAATTGTGACCAGATTGAACACAAGTGTAAAAGCAGTTGGGTTTTCAATCCAAATAAAACGTCTGTTCCAAACAATAGACTGTATATAAAGATGGAAGAAGTGTCTCCACTAAGCCCCACTGTACAAAAATAAAGCCAAAATATTCTAGATACTGCCACTGCCAACTTGCGCTGGTGATGCCATTTCAATCAATCAATCAATCAATCAATTTTATTTATAAAGCCCAATATCACAAATCACAATTTGCCTCACAGGGCTTTACAGCATACGACATCCCTCTGTCCGTATGACCCTTGCAGCGGATAAGGAAAAACTCCCCAAAAAAAACCCTTTAACGGGGAAAAAAAACGGTAGAAACCTCAGGAAGAGCAACTGAGGAGGGATCCCTCTTCCAGGACGGACAGACGTGCAATAGATGTCGTACAGAACAGATCAGCATAATAAATTAACAGTAATCCGTATGACACATTTGCTGCCAAAGTCTGAGTAGTAGCAATCTCTGCACTGTGGAGTTCCCACCCATACACCCATCCAACCAACTGGAGCAGCGCCATTGATCACGAGCACACCGACACACACAGCTCTCAGCTTTCAATCATGACATCAAACCCCTTTTTATAGCATCAAAGAACTAATTAAAACCAAACTAATTAGGAAAGGAAACACTTGAATAAACACGAGCATCATGAAAACCACCTAGAATGACAGAAGCCATCATTGGCTGTCAATTTATTTGACCTGTATTGTGATCTATAGTTTGGTCCATGTCTCAACTGCTAACACAGGGGGCGGGGTTTATTACCTATACTGCACTTCTGGGGAGCTGTCATGTCGTCTATCTTTGTTATATAGCCTTTGTTCCAAACCAGTGAGGTAGCAGCCATTAGCCAGCTAACAGGCTAAGCGACTAGCCAGAAAGCAGCAAGAAAGCTTATCGATATTTAAGACTCTCATGAATGAAGTCAAGACAAGACTAAGTGTCTGCTTTCAATTTGGTCCAACCAAAATACACAAGTGAAACTTGGCAGTTTATATAGCAAATGAGTGATTTCTGAAGCAATGGCTAAACAAATGATGAAAAAGAGCTACAACCATTTGGTTGTTTGAGCTGGGCTGAGCAAGATCTCAGTCGGGTCTCAGTGTGGACACTGGAGACATATTAATACCAAGTGTAAATGTAGTCAGGTTTAATCATATCTAGATACAATCTACAAGACCTGGCTTTGTGCACAAAGGCATTGTCATGTTGACACAGATATCTGTTGCCACAGCGTTAGAAGCATACGACACTGTATCATTGTATGTTGTACCACATTTCACTATGGGGCCTGATGAAAATCAGGAAAAGCAGCCCCACTCAAGTATGTAGACAAGTAACTGATAATAATATTAATTTTCTAATAATCTGCCAGTTATTTTCTCAATAAATAGATTCCTAATTTTGTTAACATTGTAATAAAGTTCCGGAATTATTCTCACTATAATTCCCCACAGGCTGAGGTGATGCATTTGGACGTCTTGTCTTATCTAACCAACAGTCCGAAACCCAAAGATGTGACGTTTACCATCACATATGGCAAAGAAAAGCAGCAAATCCTCACACAGATTAATTTTGTAAATTATTTAGATTGCAGATTAACTTTTAACTTCTATTTTTTTAAGGTCATTAGAATAATGGACTAATCGTTACAGCTCAAACAGGGAAATACTTTTGGCCTTACGAAATATGTTGAATCAGTGTGATGCAGGTTGCAGGCTTGAAGTGATTTCAGTTCCATTATTCTCAGATTCAGGTATCAGGGCTTGACGCTAACATTTTTCCCAAGGAGCACATGTGCTCCTAAGTTGAAAAAGTAAGGAGTGCACAAAGAACTTTAGGGGCACAACGTAAATTGATCAAATAATGTGTTTTCCGTAATAAACGTGATGCAAATAGACATTTACAAGCAAAATTATTTAATGAATTTGTATACAAAATGTACAGAAAGGTAAAATCATCAAGTTTTGAAAAAGTATTGCAATTTAATTTTGTCTTTAATGTTATTATCTTATATATATTATCTTTGCAATATCCTAAAACATTCTCCAGGTCCTCTGAAACTCTGCAGGACTTATTTCCACCCTGCCCAGCAGTGGTACCGTGGCGAACGGTCCCTAACTGCGGGGAGAACGGAGCAGGCTTCGCCGGAGGTCCGCCGCTTTTCCCGGTCCGTCTCCTCCACACTTTGACTTATTCCCACCCAGCCGACAGCCTGGCCGTGGAGAACGGTCCCTAACTGCGGGGAGAACAGAGCAGGCTTCCTCGGAGGTCCGCCGCTTTCCCAGTCCCTCGTCTCTGCCACACTTTGACTAAAGCCTCGTTCACACAGAGCACGATTTTCGCGGCGCCCATCGCGGGGTATGGTGCAGAGCAAGCGGAGAGCAAGGCGCGCAAGACAGGATTTGGGGTAGTACAGGCTCGTTCAGGAGCTACAGCTCCATGGTGACCGCTTCCATGTCTACTTCAGGCTGCTTCTCTGCTCCGAGGTGTCGTCACAGCGCGTTGCAGTGAAATTAAAAAATTTTCAATTCGAGCACAGGCTGGCAGCAGCTGCGGCATGTGCCCACTCGCGCGCCGCTCAGCTCGGCGGCAGAGCAATGCCCTCTTGCGTCGCGGTAGCACATACACAATGAATGGGTTCATCGGCGGAGGTCTGCGCTCTGTGTGAAAAGGGCTTTATTTCCACCCTGCCCAGCAGCAGTACCGTGGCGAACGGTCCCTAACTGCGGGGAGAACGGAGCAGGCTTCACCGTAGGTCCGCCGCTTCCTCCACACTTTGACTTATTTCCATGCTGCCGACAGTGGGACTTATATTCATTGTGCAGACAGTGGCTTGGAAAACCGCTCATAACCATGTCACACGGGGAAGAGGGAAGAGGGAAGGCTGCTGGAGCATTTGCGGTTAGATTATCATATTTTTTTTATTGACAAAAATATAGGCTGCTTCGGCTGATTTTTTTTATGTGCACATGTGCCCCTAAATATTTTTTACAGTTCACACACACACCTATTTTTAGTCACAAATGCGAGTGAAACGCTCACACTGTCGAGCCCTGGGTATGTTTGATTACTTTTTGATTTATTTCCCTCATGCTTTTCTAGGATCTGAGTCCTGTTTCAGAAACTTTTTTAGCCGTGACAAAAACAAATCTTGATTATACATGCATCATCAGTTCAGACATAACTTATTCAAAACCTTGTACTTTAGGCAGTGTTGGCAAAATATTGCATGGTCTGGGGTGCTCTATCATTATTCACTGCATTTGTTTGGTTACTTTGACCCTTATTTCCCTCAGGACTCTAAAGTGGCCCCAACGTACAAAAGCATAAAGCATTGACATAGTTCAAAATTCTGCTCATGTTATTCTGAATTAACGAGATTATTATGTCATTAATTCAGTAAAACAAGCTTTTTTCCATGCAAACCTTCGGAGATAATAATCTCGTTAATTTAGAAAAACTGGGCGCGTACTTTTTTTTCTCAAGTGAATGCATTAAGCTCCCATACCAGAGAGTCACCAAATAATGTCTCAACAATTTTGAAAGTTTTTCAACCAGTAACATACAGCTTCCCCATTTTATTGTCTTAGCGGCTGTAGGATTTAAATTTTCATCTTGTTCCACATTGTCTCACAGTATCACACACATAGTATCAGCTTGTCACTGATGATGATCTGAATGAAATTGTATAAATACTAAGGTCAGAGACAAACTGCTTATTGTAAATATTGCAGAAAATGTGTGTCTGAAAGAAAAGAAAGCAGCCCCCTTAGAATAAAGTTGAAAGTGAAGTAGGTTATACACTGTTAATTTGATTTTGTTAATCAAATATGGCATCTGTGCCCATTTTATATGGAATGTAACAAAACAAAACATTCTCAAAGTCCTTCAATAAACACACAAGGCTTGCTTTTCTTGTATTTTACTGTAGTTTTGATTTAGTAGTTTTTGTTATAAAACTGAAATATTACAGAGAAAATAAAATCCATCAGTATACAAGCATTGACACATTCATGCAGACAGCAAGGTAAGTATTACAGTTATACTATGACCAGATGAATATCAAATATCTGCCAAAATATAGTGTCAGTACACTGTATTCACACAGTTTGATTTCAAAACAGCTACGAGTTAACTGAAATGCTGAACAGAATTAGCTACTGTCATAAGTTAATTGCTATAAGCTACCACCTAGCTTACGGTGGTAGCTTATAGCAATTAACTTATGACAGTAGCTAATTCTGCTACAGAACAACAAAACAACAGAAAAGCTTAATGACTGTCCCTAAAAAGTGTATGTGGTTGATGCTTGTGTACACATATTACTTACATGTAGAGACAAATAATCTCCCAGGCAGAAGCGTATCAGAAAAACACTTATCAACATCGTGAATTCAGCTCTGTCCTTGACTGACTTTGCTCAACTGAGAGGCTATGCTAGCAAAGTAAACGGAGAAAAAATGCAGTGAGAGCACTCACTCTGACACTGTTTTCAAAATCCAACAGAAAAAAAGCTTACTTTTAACTTTTTAACCCATTTTTAATTAACTTCTTTAACGTATTCAATCCCTAACTTATTTAAATTA